CATATTAATGTGACATTTATGAACAGAAAACATACCTTGAAAAATTACACACTCAAAACTATAAAAGCAAATGTTCTGCCTTTGGCTGCTGCAGTGAAAAAGTGTTTTGGCTGTCTGATAAATAGGATAATGTAATGATATATTTAAAAGACTTAGAATGGTGAGTTTTTAACTTCTATCTCTTCTCTGATCCACCCATTTCAACATCTCCACAAACCTATCAATTCCATGTGTATGTATTAAAGATAACAGCGTTGCTTGCTTTCTGCAGCATCAAGGAGCAATTATCTAATGCAAGTAAACTGCTGTGAGTCAAAATGTGGTTTTACTTTGATTACTTCAGACTTTTTGGATGTATTTCAGTATTGGGAGTAACAGCAAAGTCTAATTTAGAATGGGCCTCTGGAGATCATCCAGCACAACTTTCTCTTGGGAGTATGACCTTGGATTAGGTTATCCAAGGTCTTTTCAGGCCAAGTAAGTCTTGAATCATTTCTAGCAAGGGGCGTTCTTACCGCTTCTCTAGGCAACCTATCCCAATCTTTAGTTGTTCTTATGGTGGAGAACATTTTTCTTGTATCCAGACAATTTCCCGTGAAGCAACTTGTGTCTCTTGCCTTTTGTCCTCTCACCCTGCATCCTCGTGAAAAGAGCACCTCCGCCTTCTCTATAACTGCTTTGGATGTTCTGGAAGGCTGTCATTAAATCCATCCTGAGCCTTCTCTTTCTCAACCATCATCAATTCCTTCACCCCTTCATTGTTCTTCCCAGTCATCCATTCTTTTTAGCACGTGCAATTCTCTGTTTCCTTGACTGTGTGCTTTGTGAAGAAAAAAAGTGTTTCATCCACAGTTTGGGAACAATTTCAATACACAAATTACAATTGAATATTCAATTCAACTACTTGAAGTAGATCACGTTCCATACGTAAACTGTTCTACTTAGTTCCATGTCGGTTTAAACTCAGTGTGTATTGTATGTACTTAAGTGTATAGAACCTGTTACAGAAAACCAAAAAAAAATTAAACACAGGCAAGAAACAGATATTTTCAGTCCCTTCAATTTCCAAAGTGGTTACAAAAGAAGAAGAAAAACCTGGAGCGGGGTATTATTGCACCAGAAATTGCAGAGGAAGCAGGAGTTTACCATCTGGCAGGGCCTCCAGACCAGATGGATCCACTAATGACTTTGATAAAGCATTTCATCAGACCCTGCTGGAACACGACTGGCATCTTTAATCATCCTACATTAATGGGGTTCCAGCCTTGGATGCTGCTGATCTTGGAAGGGGAGGATAAGGCAAAGTTCCCCAAAATCTCTTCTTCCTAATAGACCATTCTATTAATAAGGTGTAATGTTAAAATATTACCTTGGTTCGCCTTAAATGGATTGTTTGCTTAAAAGAAGTACCCATTGAGGCACTTTTATTAAAGCCCTTTTTTGCAAACACATCAGAGTGCTGTAGGAATTCACTGTTAGCTTTATGCACACACAAAAACATTCAGCTGCTCACCAGAGCGCACTGCCAGGAATCCTTTACTTGCTTTGCCTTCCAGAAGAAAGGGAACATGCACTTCCAAAGAAGTTGATCTCAGCATCTTACCCTACATGTGCCTCTGCCCCTGTTACTCTGCCCACTGAGAGATGGTCGAGTTGTGCGAGGAAGTAACTGCCACTACCCGTAAGCAGTACCAGCAGTAATTGTGCTACTTTTATCCTATCTCTTTCTTCTAACAAGAGAGTGTCCACTTCTTTTTCCCTTTTCTTCTGAGATTTCTTCTGCCTGCCCTGCTTGGATCTTGTGGGAATACAGCCTGGTCAGTGCAGCACTGCATGTGCTGCCATGGCTGTCCTTGGTTTCCTGCTGATCTTTGCTCGTAGAGCAACCCTGCTCTCACTGCTCATTCATAGTAAAGCCATTGCTACTGTAATGTGTATAGTGTGCCTATGGGAAAAGCATGGGAATTATGTGAATTATGTCTAAGAGAAATGCTCCTGGTTTTAAGATCATAGAATTATAGTATATCAGGTTGGAAGGGACCTCAGTGATCCAGTGTCCCAGCACCCTGTCCAGCCAAATCTTATATATTTCCAACACTGGGAAATCCTGGGGACATTATTCCAATGGCTGATGTTCTCATTGTGGAAAATTTTGGTGAAAAAGTTGTGTGGTGGGGCTGTGGGAGTGGAGAAATTATGACTTGCTTGGAGATGTGAAGCCTACAGTGGTCCAGCCATTCCCTTTAGCTGAACAGCTCTGTTGTACACTGATGTGTCTCCCACAGGTACCTGCAGAGCTGTTGCCTGTGACTTGAAGAAATTATCTGGTTGCATAAGAATTGTGTTTCTAGATGCTCTTCCTGTTGAAAGGAATAGAAAGTAATTCCCTAATAATACTTTTCTATGCCACGAATTGCTGTTGTTTGATTCCCTAATCTATTCTAATCATATTTTCATGTTGCACTGATATCATAGTAGTTTGGTATTTTCCAGTGGTGCAAATAGTGAGGTTATATCATTATAAATGATGTAGATACAGGATATTTCCTTAGAAAGGTTGAATAAATGCACCTAAATGCAAAACACAAGCAATGAAGTTCATACTCATCTTAAAAGGCAGGGAAGGTTGTGGAACCTGTTCCAGCAGAAATCTTACAACATGAAGAAGGGAAGTGATCCATACAACAGATGCAAGGTATAGCTGGACATACTATTTTAATATTTTAATACATAACAAAGATGTAAATCATATATACAGGTATCTGAGATTTGTTCTTGAAATTGGACTCATGTAACCCACTGTTCTGTCTGCCAAAAATAAGTACTTGGTTATCTAACAGCCAGACTGAATGTAGGCGGTCGTAGTGCATTGTAAAGGCTGTTAGCAGGAGATGAATGTCCTCAGTAGTTCTGAAAGACCAGACTGCTTATTTAGGTGCCAAAAATTGGTATTAGTTCCTAATTTTAGCTCCCCCACTAGTTGACTTCATGCATCAGAAAGGATAAAACAAATAACGGATATGTTCAGTACAGACATGTTTATGTTGTAGGAGATGTTCTTGTTCTTAACTTTATATGCAGGAATGGGAATGTAAAATGTAGAACAGGTTAAGTATATAAGTTCTAGTATGTGAAAACTTAACTGTACAAAGCAGGGGTAGATGTAATTAAGCTGCAGTTCTGCTCTAGCAGTGAGATAGAAGAGCCCAATTAATCTGTTCAATCTGGTTCTTAATGAAGAAAAGTATTCTAACGTAATTATAGGTATCACGGCTTAAGTATGGTGGAGTCATCCTTTATTCCCCTTCTGGGTTTAGAATTGAGGTGAGCTGCTTGACACACAGTATAATGTAGAATCCAAGCCTGTGAAGGAGAAGAGGAATGAGCAAGTGCAGGAGCAGATCAAGCAGTTTTACCGGGCATTGTGTTCTTTCTGCATGAATTGTTCTTTAACATGAAAAATTGAATACATGCATTTGTGAAATGTCCTCAAGTTTTTTGATATATTCTTAGTAATTAGTACTGTCTACTCCTGGGATAGCAGAAATCCTCAGCTTCCCTAAGCCATCTGTTGAATGTCAGTTTATTGATAGGATATTTTTCCTTGCGCCATCTGTAGCTCTCTCAGATATTGTTCAGATTTCTTTCCTGGCTAACAGTGTCAAAGTGTCTTTGTGTTCAGATTTCCTTAGGATGGGGTTTTATTATTAACATCTCCAAGCTACATTTTCAAATGAGATCCTCTGGGGTTTGTGAGAAAACACCGCAAGGGCTGAAGAGCAGCTTGACAATAGCTGAGAGTAATTGCAAAGAGGAGCTGTTGGTACGGTGCCACCAGCCATAGCCTGTACTCCTCTTGTTAATGTGGGATGAAGTTTGCTAAATGGCAGCCTTTTGTCTTCTGTGCTCCAATGAAAATCTGTTATTTGGGACGAGGAAAACAGAATGTTATGGTTTATTTTGAAATGATGCTGCTGCTTCATTCCAGAAAATGTTTGACATCCAAGAGAAATGCTCCCGACACAACAAAATGGAAGTAAATGTTAGTGTTCACACTTGAATGGGGTGTGAGAAGGTTTGCAGATCTCTGAAGGATTGTGAACAGACGTACAGTTGGATTCTGCTAATATTGCCTCCATCAGAGTGCAGCTTGCAGTAACACAGCTCTGTGCAAATACCACAGAGAATGTTTAATAAATGTCATTTTCATTGTCAAAGCAAGCTTTCTGGATGCTTGTGAAGTTAATAGCTGAAAACCAGAAACAGTGTTTGCAACTCTGGCACCTTTCTGGGATTTAAGCAGTAGAAATACTGCTCGATGTGACAGTTGTTGTGCAAAGTACCATTTCTAACTGGCTGTTAGAGAAAATGGGGTAAACTGATAAAGGTACAGTCAATTTTACCTCTCCTTAGGCAGCAGTAACTAAAAGATCTGAAAATACATATGTCATTGTTCAAGTATAGAAGAAACAGTATATTTCTCTGTCTCTTCTGAGGTTACTGTCTTTAAACATGTGAAGATGAGTGTTTCTTGCATGCACTTTTCAGAGTGAAATATATCCATTATTTAGGCACTGGGCCTTATTTCAGAATGTTTGAGCTGATGTATAAAAGAGGAATAAATTGTAGAAACTCATCCACTGACTTTATAAAGCTATGAAAGACTAACATAAAAGCCTGTGTTTATTCAGCTTCTTAACCAGTATTCAGAAATTCTCTGGCTATGTTTTCCTTCAGTTTTCCAGTTAAAATATTATTAGATGAAAGTTGTACCCTGCACTAGCCATGTTGGTCTCAGTAAAACATTATTTGAAGTAAACAATGGGATAAACTGAGTTTGGAAGATGGTTTTTATCATCATTCCAATGAACCAAAAGGAACTGAGGTTTTTGAGAATTCAAACATATGAAGTTATATTGTAATTGATTTTTTTTTTTATATTTTATACTATTTTACTGACCCAGAAAGTGCATTATAACTTCACCTGTGTTCTATTTCAGCCTTGCAGTTCACCCGGATAAAACCTTAGTAGCTACAGGGCAGGTGGGGAAGGACCCCTACATCTGCATCTGGGACTCCTACCGTGTACAGACTGTGTCTGTCCTCAAGGATGCACATACACATGGAGTTGCCTGCTTAGCTTTTGATTCAGATGGCCAGGTTTGTATATCTTCTTTCTCTATGTTGTGAATTTAGTTTGATTTCTGATTCTGGAAGACACACATAGTATTTTATGTTTCGGAAGCTGTATGGCTGTAATGCTGAAACCTCTATTACAGTTAAATTGTTAATCATAGAATCCCAGGCTGGTTTGGGTTGGAAGGGACCTTAAAGCTCATCCAGTTCCACCCTCCTACCATGGGCAGGGACACCTTCCACTAGACCAGGTTGCTCCAAGCCCTATCCAAACAATTCCAGGGATGGGGAATGCAAGGTCTGCAAATACAGCTCTTTCAAATAAGGTGTTTTTGAGATTAAAATCACCACCTAACATGCAAGCCAAATGGAAGCATTGGGTGATGGACAAATACCCATAGAAGAAATGGCCTGCTGTGGCTCAAATGCCAGACCTTCACCACATTCTTGTCACGTGCTGCTCAAGGAGATCAGTTCCTGGCAAAAGCCTCACAACAGTGCAGCGTTTTTGGCACAGGAACTCCAGCAGTCTCACTGCTGGGAGAGTCTCCTTGGCTGGGGTGCACAGGCAATTGTATAATGGGGTTAGGGCACAGAGCGTCTGGCTTTGTACAATGTGATTAGATTATATTGTAATATGAGGCAATATTTAAAATATAAGTTAATGATGAGGTATTCACAGCTAAACACATTGATTTTTCTGTTTTCCTCCCTGGAGGCAAACCATTAAAATCCCTCAGCTGTCAGTGAAGTAGGAGGAAAATAGATCTACAGTCCACATAAACCTGAGAAATAGCTCCCATTCATAGTTTTATAAATATCTATCTGTACGGTTTTGTCCTTACTGTGGTCATACTTCATAGCTGGCTGCTGAAGTTATTTCTAGGAATGCTTAGAGCTGATACCTGGATCCTTATTGGATCCACACAGATCCTTATGGGGGTTTGTATTTACTTATGTGTCTCAATTGCATCCCAAGAGGGCAAACTGCCTTTAGGTGGTGTTCTTAAAATCATGTGCTAGATAGGTAGCTGTCTATTGAGAGTGCTTTATTGTAATTCCCAGCTACTCTTCACTGACCACACAGTGCTTTTATTACTCTTTTTGAGATCAGAACTGGCCATACAATTAGTAAAATGTATTCTCAGATGAAGCAAAAGTACTTTTTGTCGCACATTATCTAAAGATTAGTCTGAAATTAAGGACATCAACGTAAGCAGTTGCCTTTAACACATTTAAAAAGCATTGGGTAACTTGAATTGCTAACAGCACTATGGATGATATTTCCCCATTAAAAACTGGAACTAGCTTTCTATTTTAAGCCTAGTTTTTAACCTTTTTCTTCCACTTTTCTTAAAGTAAAGCCATTTCCTCTGAAATCTCTTGTGCCAATTCTAATTAAAGGAAAAGGTGCTCCTGGGAATTGTGAAATGAAAAACATCAGATGAGAAAACCCTCAAATCAACAGAACAAAATTGCTATTGCTATAATATTTTTTAGAATCATAGAATCCCAGACTGCTTTGGGTTGGAAAGGACCTTAAGATCATCCAGTTCCAACCCCTGCCATGGACAGGGACACCTTCCACTGGACCAGGTTGCTCCAACTGTGCTCGTTTCCCAGGTCTTCAACTTTTCCCTTCTTGAAAATGGGGGTTATATTCCTTTTCTCTCCTGATTGCCATGATTTTTCAGATAGGATGCACATTGGCTTAGCAGGTACATCTGCCAGTTTCCTCAGTACCCACAGATGGATTTCATCAGGTCCTATGGACTAGAGCACATTCAGGTTCCTCAGATGATCTCGAACCTGATCCTCTCCTACAGTGGACCTAAGGTCTTCGTTTTCACAGTCCTTACGTGTGGCCTTTTTGACTTGAGCAGCGTGGTCAGAGCATTTGCCAGTGAAGACTGAGGCAAATAAGTCATTGAGAACTTCAGCTTTCTCCAAACCCAGGGTAGCCAGCTCTCCCATTTCCTTCCAGAGAGGGCCCACATTATCCTTAGTCTTTCTTTTGACAGCAAAAGATAAGATATTGTTCATTCAGACCTCACTTGGAGCATTGTGTGCAGTTCTGGTGTCCTCAACATAAAAAGGACATGGAACTGTTGGAACAAGTCCAGAGGAGGCCACGAGGATGATCAGGGGCTGGAGCACCTCCTGTATGAAGACAGGCTGAGAAAGTTGGGGCTGTTCAGCCTTGGAGAAGAGAAGCTGCGTGGAGACCTCAGAGCAGCTTCCAGTGTCTGAAGGGGGCTATAGGGATGTTGGGGAGGGACTCTTCATTAGGGACTGTAGTGACAGGACAAGGGGTAACGGGTTCAAACTGAAACAGGGGAAGTTCAGGTTGGATATAAGGAGGAAATTCTTTCCTGTGAGGGTGGTGAGGCACTGGAATGGGTTGCCCAGGGAGGTTGTGAATGCTCCATCCCTGGCAGTGTTCAAGGCCAGGTTGGACGAAGCCTTGGGTGAGATGGTTTAGTGTGAGGTGTCCCTGCCCACCTGGCTGGGGGGTTGGAACTTGATGATCTTAAGGTCCTTTCCAACCCTAACTATTCTGTGATTTTATGATTCAATAAATACCTGTTCTTAATTTTTTCCTCATTTTTAACTTCATAAGACTGATGAATAAACTTTTTTATTTTTTAAACATCTTTAAGCACCAAATGGGAATAAAGACGCCCTGAAGAGCCCAGTCAGCGTGAGGTAAAGGTGAAGGCTCTTCTGCAAATCCTTGCTGTAATGAAAACCTGAACTCATTCCTATGTTGACCCTGCAGAACAGCAAAGTTCTGCTTCTGGATGTACTGGAGAAGTTGCTGTTTATTCTGGAAATACAAATTTGCACAGATCTGGAGAAAGCCCAAGACTGGAAAACATAAATATGGATGATGTATCTTGGCTTTTTGCTGCTCTTTCTGGCTTTGCAGAAGAAGCTGCTGTGCTGCACCAGAATTAAAGGGCATGGTAGAAAGACTGAGTATTTGGAATTCATTGCTGCTAGCAGGTCCAGTTTCTTCAGTCGGCACACCCAAGGGAGCTGGCATCTTGTGACAGGACAAACCAGACTTCACATACATTGTGTGCATCTTGCCTTCCAAAGCATACCTGTCATTCTTTTATACTGAATGTCTGTTAAAACCCAAGAAAGGGTTTTATTTTAGCCCCAAATCACGAATAAATTCAACAAGCATGTGATGTATAGATGCTGTAAGAAATGTATTTCCTCTGCTCACTCTGTCAGCTCTCCACTTTCTAAACGTAAGCAGCTTGAGGAAAAGCCTGGCTAACCCTGCTTCTCTACCTGAGCTGGATCCCATGCAGTCAGTGGGCTTCATCCCCCTCCAGTGTGCCCAGCTCTGGTTCCAAGGGTGGCTACTGTGCTGGGTGCTGTGCAGCTCCAGTCTGTGCATTTAGTGTGGCTCAAACACTGACACTGCCTCTGTATTTTAGCCAATTTAACCATCTCCTCTTGTGCTGGGATCTCTGGGTGTCTGTCTGAGGCATTCAGATGAATTAGTTCTGAAGTATTACTCCCTGCTGTACTTCAGCTGACACTGCATTGAGATAGCTTAGTTGTTTCTGCAGTGCTTCTCTGGAATGATTTACCACAGACCGGGTAATGGAGAGTAGACAGGATTTGTTATCTTTTATAATACAGGAGAAGATCAGTATGCATCTTAAACGAGGGAATAGCTTATAGCTTCCTTGACTTCATAGAATCATAGAATGGTTTGTGTTGGAAAGGACCTGATTAAAGCTCCTCCAGCTCCAACCCCTGCCACGGGCAGGGACCCCTTCCACTAGAGCAGCTTGCTCCAGGCCCCTGTGTCCAACCTGGCCTTGAACACTGCCAGGGATGGGGCAGCCACAGCTTCTCTGGGCACCCTGTGCCAGCGCCTCAGCACCCTCACAGGGAAGAGCTTCTGCCTGAGATTTAACCTAAATCTCCCCTGTTTAAGTTTGAACTCATCACCCCTTGTCCTATCGCTGTGTACATTCATTTATGTACCTTCAATGCAGATTTAAATTTGGAGGCAAATACATTTTGAGTATATTTCCTATTTTGCACATTATCTGTATTTTAATAGTATAGGTGGGAGCTAAATATCCTGCAGACCTGTTGCTATTTAAAACCAGGCATTTCACTTCGGTGTTTTTGTGTATAACCAGGAGATCACATTTGGCAGGAGAGAAGCTGCACTCAGTTCAAATGTTTAGCAAAGAGCTGTCAGTTTGCCTGGAATTAAAAATATTTTTTGTTGAATTAACCATTAACTGCAGTTTCTCCTTAAAAGGACCAATGTCCACCCTTTGTGGAATTACCTACAGAGCTGATGTCTTTCTTATTGTAGTATTTCACCAGTATTGTAAGCTTCAGTTTATTTTCTGAGTTATTTTCGATGAACTCTTTGGTATGCTTCCTAAAAATACAACTTTTTCAATGGAACGAGGAGGGCGCTGCCACAATACGCAGATTCATTTCTAAGTTTGGCCTTAGGTAGCAGTTGGCTTCTTTATCCAGATCTTCCAAGTCTGTGTAGATTTAAAAAGAATTGTTTCATTCCCATGTGCATAAACTACTTGGCAGATATTTTCTTCTGTGAATTCTCTGAACAGAATTCTGTCAAATTCTCCTCCAGAAGGAGGACTAAAAGTGTCAGTGTTCAACCAAAAAGGAAATCCAGCATTTAGCACTTGCCACCTTCCTCAGCAGACATATGTGAAAAGAGAATCTCAAATATTCCCTCATTTCCCCATGGACTTTCACTGTCCATCTCCCCCACTAATGGTAATTTCCTGACTGACAGCTGCAGTTCAGGTCTGATGATGTTCACACCATGAATCTGAAAGATGCTGTAAGCGCTGCCATGGTTTCCATGGTGAAGAGTATAAAAGAGGTGAGAAAAAGTTGGAATTGGTGAAGGCTCCGTGAAAAATATCTTGTGTTTTGATCATTACATCCAAGCCCCTGGGTGGGTGTAGATTGCTCAGGGCAAAGCAAACTTCCTTTTCTACAATAATAGGCCTTTCTGGAAAGTAAGATTTTTATGCTGGTAACTGCAGGAGCAAGATTATTCTTTCCTATATTTGATTTCTTTTTCATTCTTTACCATATGTCTAATAACCAAGCACATTGTCTGAGGTTAAATGCAGATATTCAGGACACATCTGAGAGAGAAAAACTTGGGGGTTCATTCGCATCTAGTGATAGAACCTCAAACTTTGAACCTACCTTTACCTACCATTGCAGAGACTCACATATGAAGAGTCTTCCAACAGTCTGTGCTCAGGCATTGGAACAGGCTGCCCAGGGCAGGGCTGCAGTCACCGTCCCTGCAAGTGTTCACACCCCATGGAGACGAGGCCTCAGTGCCAGGTTAGTGGTGGCCTTGGCAGTGCTGGGAATTGTTGGACTGGATGAGCTTGAAGGGCTTTTCCAACCTGGCTGATTCTGTGATTCTATATTGTAATAAAGTCTTCTGACTACTTGGTGTCTAGTGGATTCCTGCAGCATATTCTCACGCAGTCTGATTTAATAAGACCTGAGACATTTTTATTCCAGTGAAAGACAATATAAAAGTAGACTGGGCTCAGAGGAACTTGTGGAATAAGTCTGTAAATAGGTTTTTGGCTTATTGTTTGGTTTGTTGGTTTGGTTTTTTATTGTTTGGGGTTTGTTGGTTTTGGTTTTCATTAGTACCATATTGCTTAGTACATTTGCTGGTAGGATATTGGTTGGTTTATACATTACTCACTAGGCAGAGTTCAAATATTGCCTTTGACATAATGCCTGCTGTCAGCTCTCATACAACCAAAGTCTGAGAAGATCTCTTTCATTGCTCTGAAATAAAAGAATTATAACTACTGAGGGGACAGTGAAGGGTGCTTCTATATCCACTGCATTTAGACCAGGGGCTTTTGATAGTGGCTCCCTTAAGAAGGAAGATGTATTCTCTGTTTTTACACTTAGAAATGGTGTGAAAAGGCATGGAGTACCTGGTGTCTGAATTATTTTGCTACAGAGTGAAAACTGGAACCCTGTGTTTCTTTATGAATGATGATCTTTTCTCTCAGTTGTGCAGTAGTTGTTGTGAGTCATTGCAGTGAGCGTTTTTTCTAATACAGCATTTTAGGGCAGTCTCTAGTGATTGTACCTGTTTTCTTTGCTGGTTCAGTCCTTTTGTATTATCAAATATGCCTCCAGACTTTAAACAATTTGCCTATTGAAAATTTGAGCCAAAAATAGTGGACATTCAGTTGAAGGAAATCCAGTTGAAGGGATGAAGTTTGCAAGTCATCTTCTTGAAGGAAATCTTCAAGGAAAAGATCTGGTTGGTGTTATCTCTGAAACATATATCCATCTGGACCAGAAGGTTCATGTGCTTATCTTTGAGGCAAAAAGAAAGGTTTCATCTATTGCATGGTCTTGAATTGCAGGATTTCCTATAACTGAGCAAAATGCTGTGGAGCTTCAGTTGGACTGATACTTCCTTGTGAGATGAAGTTATTAGGCAGGACAGTGAGAAGAACAAGGGACAGGCAACACAGACACCACAGATACAACTCTGTTTAAGAAGTCCCGTTGCTGAGCTACTACATAGTTTCCCATGAAAATAGTCTCTTGTCTTTCCAGTCACTCAGGCACATTCTTTTTACTAATATATGTTGAACATATCCATTACATACGTTATATATCCCTATACAACACACCTTGGCATCACATCCAGTATGTACAGATGAAGTACCTTTGGCACTAGCTTAGTCTTTGCACTGGTACATATAATGAACCCAGTTCTACCATCTCTGGGCTGCAAAGCCCAGGTGAGCCCTCTCACCTCTTAGGAAGCTCTAGGGGAAATCATGGAATGCTGGACATGGTGAGCACAGTCGCTGGAAGAGAACCTACAACCTCCGTGATAACCATTGATCTTTGGGTGCTTTGCTAGTGCATGCAGCCCACCTCCTCCCCTCCAGATTTTCCCTTCCATTTTATTCTGCTCTTTTTTTTTTTTTTCTTGTATTACTGAGATATGAAAGTATTAAAATAATTAGTTAGTTTAATTGCTGAATAATTAATAATAATTTTAATTAATAACTTTAATTTGGCAAGTAATAATTTTAATTACTTTAATTGGTATTTTGCGATACTAAGCTATGGAGAAGGCAATCAGGAAAAGTGTATCTAATTGTGATTCTAAAGCTCCACAAAATGAGCACAATGAACAAAACTGTAGTCGGAAATAGCAAGTGCTTTTATTCCCCATTCACTTTCATTATCAGATTAAGAAATCAAAATGCTACCATGGTGTGCACCTGAAACAAGCACCTCAAGTGTTTCATGGTAAGAACTGTACTTGAGACATCAGTAACCCAAGATTAAAACCTGACTTTTTGGAATAGATTTGACATTTTGGCACTTTCTGCAGTGAGTAAATGTTAAGTATGAGTATCTCGAAGGTTCCCATTTAGTTCACCCCAAGTCACATGTTGGGAAAATCAATTTGTATGCATAATAATCGGAACTACAGTAAAGAGATCTTTGAGCTGGTTTTCTGCTAACTGGATTACTGTTGTTTTTCCTTAGCGTTTAGCTTCAGTGGGACTGGATGCCAAAAACACAGTGTGTATTTGGGACTGGAAGAGAGGAAAACTACTGGCGACAGCTACAGGCCATTCAGACAGGGTAATTGTATGAATTGAATTGTGCCTTGTGTTTTAAAAAGCATTTTTCTTTGTATCAGGTTAATGCAAAGATAATTTGGATCATTCTGCCTGGCTTTTAAAATCCTGACCAAGGTATTTATTTCTTCTCATTATGCCAGAAGTAGCATAAAGCACTGTGTTAGTAAAAGAGGCAGATGACGGATTCTTGGGCTGTTTACTAAGCTTAGGGAGGAAACACTTTGCAACTACACACTGATTAGGATGATTTATAGCTCTCTACATGAGATGTGAAGTGCTAGTTCAATGGACGAAGATCATCTTCTTTCTGAATATGTCCAAAAGACAGTTTATCCTGAGGGAAAGTTTAATTAGCTCTGGTTTCTTTTTGCTTTAGACAGTTACCTGTAGGAGAAACATAATTTAGATAAATAGTCCTTTTCTGTCTATTAACTTCAGATAAAGGATCTTAACTTCAATATATATGAGACCTGAAGAGGTTTGAGTTTTGAACATTATTCAGGATTAGGAAATGTTTTAACAGGTTTAGCATAAGCAAAATACCACCTCAACATATAAAAGCACAAGGATGTGTACCTTAAAATAAATTAATGACACATTCTGACAAATTCTAACCTTGTTATGATATTATAACGTGCTTGAATTTTATAATATTGAGCTTTATGATGTTTTATTACACGTGACAGAGTACCCATAAATGCAAAGCAGCAGACTAAATCCTTCCTTGCAGTCTGTGTATGCATACAGTCTACCTGCATCTTGTGTGTCATCTGAATAGATCTGGTGGTTCATTTTTACTTAAAAAGTTCATAACACAACAGAATCTTAGTCCTCATTCAAATTTCTGTTTCAGAACTGATTAATTTCCCAGTCACATCAGTGGAAGTTTTGCTACTGAGCTCAGTAGGTCCAAGATCAGGTTCTGAATTAGCAGAAGACCCAGGACAGGCAAGAAACACTAAAATCTTAGTATCCTAGTAGACTTTCACTACCAGCAAAGAGGTATTTTGCACTGAAGAGGGAGTGGGGAAGAATGCATCTCTAATTGGGCCACAGATTCCAATGATTTAGTGTACAGGAGTCGTAAGGCATTTCTGAGGGTGAAATATCTTGTGTGTTCTAAAACTTCTAAACAAATAGTACTTGAACTACTGTGAATCCTGATGTTCGTAAAGAAGATAAATATTCCATAGGAAGACAGTGCTTCCTGGTGTATAAAATGGTTGATGAGTAAGCTTAAAACAATACTTTTGTGTAAACTGATGAGAATTCTCTCGTGATTTATACTTAACAGCTGAAGAGCTACAAGCAGCAAAAAGTCCCATTGTCTTTCTGTACAGGCCTACATTTCCTGAAGTAACTAATGGTTGTGGAACCTTGTGGGTTTTCAGCTTGGACATTGAAAAGCTGAATGCCAGAGGTACAAAGTCTAAAACCGACAAGCTGTTGGAAATGTGGGCCAAAATACAGCCTTTTTGTTTCCATACCTTACAGAGTCATTCTCAGTTGGCATAATCCCATAGCCACAGAATACACTGTGAGTTTGTTCTGGTAAGCTACACAGGACCTTTTACTTCATTTTTTAGTGCATACTGTTATAAATACAAATGTGAGACTAATCAAAATGAAGAATTCAATTTTAACTCTGTAGATCAAGTCAGATGAACATTATTCACCCATTTTGTCACCGGGGTCTTTGGTAATCAGGTTAAATTAGATACTGTACCTTCTACCTAAATTAATGTATAAAGATAAATGCACCAGTCTGTCATCCCTAATCACACCATTAATTCCCACTTCACTTGACACAGTAAATAGTGTTTATTCAATAACATCTTGGAGCTGGAATACATTGGTATACAAAGGCAGAAATGAGGTGTGCTGACAGAACTCTGTGAGGAAGCCTACATATTTGCTTTAATCTTTACCTAAATGGTGTTCTTTCATTGTTAGTAATATGTTGGAGCAGAAATGATGCCTAAATATTGGCAAAAGCAAACTGAGCCTAGATGCAATTACTCTATAATTTGAATTATCAGCTTACTGTGTTTCTTAACAGATATTTGATATCTCCTGGGATCAATATCAACCAAATAGAATTGTCAGCTGTGGAGTAAAACACATAAAGGTAAACACTTTTTACTGTTTTAATCATTAAAAGGAAAATAAATGCCACAAAAGAAATTTGTTCTATTATATGATCAGGGTTTTAAACATAAAAAACTACCATATATATATATTTTTCTTTCTTTGTGAACTTTCTTTGAAGCCAGTTTAGGCACTCAGCAGTGGCTGAGGTGCAGATCCACTTAAGATCATTTGAGGTCATTTTCCTCATTACATACTTGTCATTTTGGGGTTCTCTGCCCTCTCCATTCCACTTCAGTTGGCTCAGAATTGTCTCAGCCTGTAGCGATTTCTCTCACTGAGCATCACAAAGGGTCACTGAGCAGGTACAGGAGGAATGAAGTTAAAGTATGGATTAAACGAACTGCTGTTTGGCCTGTCATGCTGCTGGTACTTGTAGGAATACCACAGGGAAGGTAAGCAAGACCTGAGAGATGAACAGACAAGTAGTGCCCACTTTTTGCTCACTCTAAGTCACTTTTCCTGGCAATTTAAATATGAACCTAGGTATATACTGTAAATTTAGGATAAAACATCCTCGTGTCTGTGAAAGAAATCCTTCTGTTTGCCAATATTCCCTGCAGGTTTCTATTTTTCTCCTGTCTCATCAAAAGCTTTCCTAACAGATGGCAATTATTTCACATGACTGGGGTGGGAAGAGCTTAACTAGAAGTTTAGGAAACCAGTTAATATCTCTAGCTCTGGTTAGTGAGAAGCTCGTGCCCTTAAAACCACCACTGCTTTCAAACTGTGGGTGGGCTTGGCAGCAGTGATACCATCTGTTGTATTCTGCAAGCTGTTTTCCAAAACCTGCCTTTGTTTGGCACCTGTATTCTGTTTAAAACGGCCATAATTGCCCTGAAATGCATCACACCAGGCAAAGTAAATACATATAGATAGAGGCATGCAAAACCCCAGTAAATAACTGTGGATGGGAAATGATTCGATGTTCCCCTCCAGTGATGCTCAAACAGTAGTCTGTATACTCGCCATTCATTGTAAGACTGTGAGAACATGATAATTAACTTGCAACAAAGGAAAAGAACAGCTCTGAAGTAATTGTGTCACTGTGAGAATGGCACTGGGACTTGGGAATAGTGCCATTTATTCCTTTAGCATTTCAGTTCTGTTGGCTCCTTTGGCTGAGCAGGTATTAGGTGTGGTAAAGCCTGGGAGCTAAGGGTGCTAAGGAATCACACACTGAGCCCAAGATCCTCCCTCCACCCCTTTCCTAACACGGCTATCTGCTCTCTTGTTCTGCTGCAGCTAACCAGAAGTGAGGAGAGCATATTTTTTGGTCACAGAAAGCAAGCCATAGAGGAAGTATTCCCACTGACTTCTCATAAACTGGCTTATTAAGAGGCAAAGGGAAAATGTAGGTGAATTAGAAATAAAGAAGGATCTGAAATAAGAATGCTTCATCCAAGGATTTTATGGAATTGTGCTTTATAGGAATTTTATAGAAGGACAAAGAGAAAGACCTAAAAGTTCATCTTAAAGCCATGAAAAGATGTAGGCATATAAAGTGGGAATGAGACAGGCATTATGCATCTGTGTCAGGCACTTCAATATTCCTGTCCAGTCCCTGACTGTATCTCTCCAGTGCAATGGACCACAGAGCATAGATCTCAGCTATAAAGAGCTGAGCTGGCAAGTCCAGACAGGACTGTGCTACACCACATAGATTTCCTCTGTCTCTGCGTGTGTCCAGAACACCCCAGTGCCTGCAGGCCTGGGTGTTTCAGCACTTCTCTTACACATCTAATTGACATTCTCTTTACTCTGCCTTCCCTAGAAGCACTGATCCTTGGGGGGAACAGAGAGCACAAACCACTCTGCTTGCTAAATTGTGTTTTTACAACAAAAAGGGGCACTCTGATTCAGAAAGAAATAGTGTGGTATTTATAGCTTACCACTAAAGACACCCTTCTAAGGCAAACTGTATTCTCTTGTCTCTTACGGTCAGTCTTACATTCTTTTCTGCAGGATCTGTGTCTGTGGAGAAGTCAAGAAAGTCACCATTCCACACTTAGAGAACGTAGTACACTTGTCAGAGAGAGGTGTTTCACGTGCAAGCATTTGCAGTCTCCATCCAACAGATGGTTTCTTTGTAAATGTAACTATATTTGAAGGACCTATCTCAGCGCACCGGAAAAGGGCAGAAATGTCTGCTTCAGGCACATAAGTTCTTTAAAATAAAGTATTTTATCACTTCAGAACTGTAGCTGTATGTTGAGTTTTGCAGACCAGAGAAGCGGCACATTCCTGGCTTTAAAAAGTGTGCATTGACAGATGCCCCCAGCAAAACATGATAAAAGGTAGTGAGGTAATGAGAAGGGAAGTGTAGCAAGAGTGAGTCAGAACTGTGCCTCACTTGCTCAGTTTGATCATTTTGCTCTCTTCTTGGACTTACTGCACTTGCCTGGGGGCGTCCATGGTAGGTGGGAAGGTTTTGGAGTAATGGGAATTATGATGGGACTGCAGGAGTCATGTTAAGTGTCTGTCCAGGATGTACGTCTGTGAGATCTGCACATTAATATGAGCAAACAGATATTCTGCAGAAGTTTTTCCTGATCTGCCGTTTCTATTTCACAGTTTTGGACGTTGTGTGGAAATGCACTGACAGCAAAGAGAGGAATATTTGGTAAAACAGGAGATCTCCAAACTATCCTTTGTTTGGCATGTGCAAAAGAAGATATCACATACTCTGGTGCTTTAAATGGAGACATCTATGTTTGGAAAGGGCTAAACTTAGTCCGCACAATTCAAGGAGCACATAGTGTAAGTCATGGTTTTAACATCATTTCCTGAAGTGAACTGTTTGTTGAATGGCAAAATTTCTTGAAGGCTCATCTGCAAAGATGATCTTCTGTTTCAGGCCAGAAGAATGTCTTAAGACTGCTCATCAATTAAGAACTTATATGTAATGTTATACTTCATGTATTGTCAACAGATGCTAGGGCTGAAACTGATATTGGCAGAACTGCTGATATTTATAGCATTGATTTAACAGAGCAGACTAAATCTGAAGGGACGTTTCTAAATCTAAAGTTTCACAGATTGAGTAGCTTTAGTTACGATCAGTTTACTTAAAAATAGTTGGTAAGCAAATGATCTGATTTTAAATAGAATTTTACTCCTAAAATTCCCAACGCTGAAGACTGACTCTACATAAAAGCTTCAATGTGAAGTAAATCTGTTTAATCTGCAAATTGCACTCCAGTCACATTCCAAAGGCTGTTTACTCCAACTGGCTTCATTCCACGCCCCCCCCCAGTTTGGAGCATTTGTAATTACTAAGAAAGGGGGATGTGTAGAATCATGTTAGGTTCCTAACCAGTCTAAAGGCAAAGGCACAGCAGGATTTTCAAATCTTGTTTCAAATGTATTTGAGGGCTACCCCTGTTTTAAACATGATTGTGGCTAACGGCATTCCAGCATGGGGGTTTGGAACAAAAGGAAAAGTGATGTGAAATCTAACGGTTGTCACTATAGTTTGCTTCTAAAACCTTTCTAGAAAGAGGACTGCAAACTTAACAGTTTGTTCTGACCTCCCAAATCGGTTATGCTGACAGTGCATCAAGATTCATAGTAGCTCTTCAAATCAGATCTAAGTGTTCAAGAGAGTAGTTGCTATTTATAGACATAATCCCTCATCTAGGAAAGCAGTCAGTGGGACATCCTACCTGCAGAACTGTTGTGTAATTGCCAGGTTGTGGTAATGTGCAACTGCAATAACATTAAAATACCTTTGGCAAACAGTATATTTGTATGTTCTGTAGTATATTTGCAGAACTTTTATTTGCAGAACTTCATTTAGATCCATTAGAATGATTAAATAGAATCTCTTTGTATATAGCGTCCAGTTTCATTCTTATAAATTATGGCTAATATGAATTCTCTTGCCCAATTTCCAGTACTAATTTATGAAGACATTGAACAAAACCACTTTGAAAACACAGGTCTTCTCTTCATTTTATTAATTTCCATGCAGTTCAGCTTGTCTCCTAACCAAGAGGCTTTCCTAATAGAGCACTGAATCAGCATTCATTCCATGAGCTATTACAGTGTAGTACAGCGCAGTCATCAATCACAAGGCCTTGTCACTAGTGAGGAAGAAATTCAGACTGTAACAGAAACTTGCCTTTCAGAGAAGAGAATGAATTGACACTCTTTCAGTTCCTGTCAGATTCCAGCTGATGTCTGAACTGAAATCGTGAAAGAATATCTCAGTCACCTCCACACCTGTAAGAATATTTGTGTGGCTTGTTTGCTTGGTTTTGCTTATTCTGGGTAACTATTTATTTTAAGTGTTCCATTATTTATTTAATGCTCCTCGTAGCAATATTAACTAAATCAGATTTAAAGTTCTATGTCTCTGCTGTTTGTACAAAAATCCCTACATCAGCCACTGAAGTGGGAGCACTTGAAATAAAAGCATCCCCCTGTGTTTGCTGTTTGGCTTTCTGGATGAACACCATTTTGCTGCCTAGCAGTTTCTAGCCTTGAACAAGAGTCTGTCCATAAACATTTGCTTTGTGTGTTTATTTTGATTGTAAAGAGCATTAAAACTTGTTATACTATTGGTTAACAGGCTGGAATTTTTAGTATGTATGCTTGTGAGGAAGGTTTTGCCACCGGAGGGAGAGATGGTTGCATTCGGTTATGGGACACTGATTTCAAACCAATTACTAAAATTGATCTCAGGGAGACTGAACAAGGATACAAAGGTAACAAGCTATTACTTTAATGGTTTTCACACATCTTGATAATGGGTACAATTTAATTTGAAGCATAAATGTCTGCATACTGCTGGGTTTTTACTTAATGACTGCATTAACTGTTGAGATCTGTATTCCCTCTTTTCTCTGACAATGTGACCTGAAGAGTTATCCATGTGCCATAGAATAAACAGGAGGATGCTTATAGGTGCTGCTCCCCACCATGCACATACAAGAAGATAAACAAAAACTAATTAAACACAAGAAGATAAGATAATGAAATCAGCCAATCTTTAACTTAATTAATTGCAATTCATTTAACTAATTGAGATTTCTGGAACCTGATAAGTCAAAGCTGCTGACCATCTGAGCACTCCATTAGGTCCGTCTGGAATTGTAGCACTTGGAATATTAATACATAGAAAGTTACTACTTCTGGACCATCATATTTGTTGTACCTACTCATGCTTCCTATGAGCTTAGTAATCACTTGGTTTTATGATTAGACTCTCAGAGCATTTATAATCTCCATAGGTTGTAGAGCATGCTTTAACAAGATCTTAGTCTTCTGGGAATTGTACACATCTGTCTGGAGTGAAAATAGAGCAGTCTGTCTGCTGGTTTGCACTAGGCTTTATACACTTTTGGCAGCCAACTTTGCAATGGTAATTGTTAATTTCCCCTGCTTCTCAACTTATGGTTTTAGACCTAGTTTTCATATGAAAATTACCATTGAAATAGTCAAGATGCCACTAAAAAGGGTAAAAGCTACTCTGTCAATTATGGACATTTTGGCTGTGATCTGGTAACAAGCTCATTCTTTTTATTTTTTGCCTTAAACCAAATGAGCTGATGATCCTAATGCTTGTAAAATGCATAGGTTTGCAAGGTCTAGGCTCATCCAGCAAGCAAACTGCACAGCCTTAGCTGGCTGCTGCTCCACCAGTTTGCCTTGTGCAGTGTAAACCGGAATTTAGCCCTCCAAAGCGTTGTTGGAGGCACCAGGCTGGTACTCCCTTTGTACTTCTGGCTTGATGTCATTTTTTGTGGCCCAAATCATAGAGTAGTTAGAATCATAATGTCTAACAGTCATTTCTAGGAAACAGTGGCAGTACCTTATGATTTACAGCAGGTTTGATCAGTTTAGAAATGCCTTGTAAAAATTGAGGAGAAATAAGCCTGTACATGTGGGTGAGACAGGTCATTCTGGATAACGCCAGTGTTGCAGGCAGTCTGTTCCTAATAGAAGTCAGAATAACATATATGAAGGGAAGCATAGGGAAAGCAGTGCTCACACATGATACATGCATCTTCAACATCCTCGGGTCTTTGTGAAGTGATTCTGAAAGGGAGAATCGCTTCGTCCCCTGCATTTGTGAGACCACAGTAGAAGCAATCTTACTGCTCTCACCATTGCTTGGGATGTGACCACACACAGCACAAAGCAGACTTTAGCTGCTATCAGTTACTTTTAATAGACTGTAGTTATCTTCTGTGGCAAGTTATTACTTCAAGCTTATAACTTACATTACAAAGCTTTAATGTCTTCATAAAGGTGTCATCTTCTAGCACATTGTCATCAGAAAACACCTAGCTATCCCTCTACAGGTTGCCTAAGAAGTGATTTTGGTCTTGATGGAAGTTAAATGAAGGAATGGCTTATTGAAGGCAAATCCTCAATGCTGTGGAGTGATTCTAACTTAATGCCATTATTTCTACCATCTCCTAAATGCTGCAGAATACAGAATATACAGATGAGAGCAGATGGGTAGAAGCAGGCACTGTGACAGCAGCTATATTGCTGAGAGACAATCAATAAAGGCTTTTGCTTTCTTACATGGCAAAAGTAGTAAAGAATTTAGTTTAAGCACGTTTGTAACTTTAAGCAATAGAGTCGGCCTTAACTGCTTACCTATGACCTTCTGTCAGAATCACAGACTGGTTTGGGTTGAAGGGAACCTTAAAGCTCTTCCAGTTCCAACCCCCTGCAATGGGCAGGGACACCTTCTGCTACAGCAGGTTGCAAAGGCATCAGCTTTCAAACTTAAAATGTCTTTCTAGGGTACCAGGAAGACTTCACAGCCTCCCATGTACTCATTCATCGGTCATCCCATACTGAAGGATACTAACCACTTTTTAAATGGGCTGCATCAGCAGTAACAATCTGACCATAGGCTTGGCTTTTATATGTAAAATATACATGTATTAGTAAAAAATTCTGACAATAGATATCTTTATGTGCAGTATGTCACATTAAACATTACCTTTTCCACATAAAAGATGTACTTTGTATTCTCAAACTTAACAATACCCATTTCCCACTTAACATCTAAACTTCATTGTGTGTGTAGCCTTTCGTATGTATCAAGAAGATACAAGTCATAACTTCAATGTGAATTTAGCTAAGTCACAAAATGACTATCAAAAGGTCAATGGACCTTTTGGAAACGGACAAGACAGTAAGTGAAGATTAATTTGTCTTTCTCGAGAGATGACACAAAATGCCTACAATGAATATATTTTATTTGTGACCATCAGTTAATTGCATTGTGCATTTGGTTCCAAAAGATGTTCAAATGATGACGTGGTTGACCTTGCCTACATGACTAATGGAGTTGTTATTCATTCACATCTCACAGCATCCAGAGCCATTACCCAGACTTTAATTTTCATATCCTGGAACAGAAAAGAAACCCTGCAGGGAGTCAACCAGAGGATGCTGTCAAACTGCTCAGCCTGCTAAGAGGCTGTTTCTAAGCCTAAGTTAGTAACATTCCACCTGCAAAGTTAGGATCAGATTTGTGGAATAAGATCAAGTTGTAAAAGTTATGCAAAGCAAGATTCTGTTGGCCAGGGGCTTTTTGGGGTGTTTTGGTTTATTTTTTAACAGTCAGCTGGGACTAAAGTGTGGTAGCACAGGCACGAACCATTTAGATTCACCACTAAAATGTATTCAACATTGTATTTAAATGTGAAAAAAGAAAAGTAGTGAAGAAAGGAACAAAACCAGCTTCAGTCACAGGAACCTTGCCTCATCTAAACTTTACAGTTTTAAATCATGTGAAATTGAATTGCTATTTAAAGTAAATTCCCAAGGTTTACACAAAGCATGAGAGCTTGATCCTTTGAGGAGCTGGCAGCAGCAATATTAGGTACTCAGCACCTTCCTAGGACTGAGATTTTCTCTTCCTCTGTAAATTAGGATGATTTAACAGAACTGGTTTGAGACTTTAATCAGCTGTGATGTGTTATAAGACTTCAGTGTGAAAACATAACAGTGGCTGTAAATTAACTCTTGAAGTCTCAATGATCTTCACTGTACTACCACTTTGTCTTGTCATTGCTATTAATCTAAGACTATTCTGTCCCCTGTCAGGTCTGTCCATCCGAAGTGTCTGTTGGAAAGCAGACAGGCTTTTAGCAGGGACACAGGACAGTGAGATATTTGAGGTGCTAGTAAGAGAGAGAGATAAACCCATGCTGATCATGCAGGGCCATTGTGAAGGGGAGCTCTGGGCCCTGGCAGTCCATCCAAAGAAGCCTTTAGCAGTCACAGGCAGCGATGATCGATCTGTACGGTAAGGCTGGATCTTATTTATTGTCTTACTCATTCATGGTCACATTGATTTGTCATCTTTTTATTTTAGGACCCCATTGAGCTTTTTTCCCCATGTTTTTCATGAGGGAAAAAGCAGCTTTGCTTTTTCTCTTCAGCCCTCATATTTGGGTTCCACACATGGTATAAAAGTAATCAGAATTGATGTTCAAAACATGCTGGATTTATATACTCTGCTCTAAGTACTGTTCTGAACAGCAGGGATAGGTATCTCAGTAGAGAATGGTCACCTCCCACTTCTGCCAATAAACTTAAAACCTAAATACCTTTTACCAGTGGTTTACACAGCAGGAGTCTGCCTCAGCCTAGAGTGTTAGAAAATCTGATCTAAACCCAATTCAGTTAAAATGCCACAAAATGGGATTAGTGAAAAGGTGCTGATGTGCCCCAATGAAGATCTTTGAGGTGTTTAGTTGTAGCACTTGTGCCTCAGGGCTTTGCAGCAGAGAGCTGAAATCTTGTGCACAGATTTTGTGGATGTATTTGTGGAAATTGTCACCAAGTCAAGGCTGGCTTTTTCCTGGGCCTGTTAAAATCTAAGCCTTTTTAATAAAGTAAGGCTTTATGGTGAAGTTTGGAGATTAGACTAAGATTCCCACTGTAATGATGTCCTCCCATACCCACACAGCTGCTGTGTGTTACCTCAAGTGGGCAGAGCCACTGCCCTTCATGACTAATTATTTACTTGTGATTTAAGAGACTGAGATTTTCGTGGCTGCTAAAACTACCCATGGGGACTGGAGAGATTTGTGGGAGACCTGGCTTTATTGTGGTGGTCTCCCAAGTCTTTCCTCAAGTTGTGGGTCTTCCTTTACCCTGCAGCACAGTGCATACAGTGGGGTTCATGGCAGCTTGGTATCTCAAGCTCTGGTACCCATGATGTCCTCATTAGTGTTTTCTCCTATCCCACTATCCTAGTTTCTAAGCCCTCCATCAGGTTTTTCTCCAACCCTATGCCAGATGGGTGATGGCAGCTTTTCATCTGATCTAGATAATTTGATTGCATCTTTTCAAATCAAGCCCAGGCAGCTTCCAAAGGGTTCTTCAGTTTTATAGACAACCAGGCAACCTATTTCAGAAACACACCTGGATTCTACCACTTGGGAAAAATCAATTCCCTGCCATATATACAGCTTCTAATTTATGCTCTTTCAGATTCCACGTTATGATTCCCCTCTGCTTTGAGGCTGGTCAGCTGGAATTTCTTTTTCCCTTTCCTTTCATTTTACTTGCGCTGATTTCCTGTTCCTGCCATCCCTCATCTCTTTTTAACCATAATTAAAACCCAGAGTGTGAAACTAATGGAACTGCCAGTTGTTCGCCACAGTCATGTTATCTCCCTGCTTCCTACACCTTAGTACGATTTCTTTCAGTTCATAAAACACATGAGTAGTCTCTTCTGGTTGAGTTTATCTGCACAGATGTATAGACAGACAGAAGTTCATATTGCCTGCGTTCTGGTGGGATGCAAGCCAGTTCTGAAACAAGCTGCAAAGCTGGGATTAGCATTGTGCTGCCCTCAAGCTAATAAGCCTTGCTAAGACTTTGGATCTCTTTTCTTGGGCTCATCTCTGGGTTAGTGATAACATAGCTCTGGCTTGGAGCTGGGAGATGCACTGCTGGCTCAAATCATGCCAGAACAAACTTGTGCCCCTCTGTGAAAGACTCTGCAGGCAAGCTCTTTGTGCACATACAGGCTTCATTAGTGGTGTTCTTATGATTATTATCATTGTTATAGTTATTATGTTACTGCTGCCTTTGGACATTGCCATTCTATCAAGTGTCTAAAGGCAGCAGTAATATGCAAGCATAAAATACCTGGTTTTGTTAACATTGCAGGTTATTTTACTGTGCTACATCACACATTCATTTAGCAGTTGAGGCACTAGAGAATGTGGGGTTTGAATTCGAGTTCAGACAGAGGTATTTTTTACGTACTGTGGCTTCATGTGAGGAATAAAAAAAAGTCCATAAAGGGATTATGGATCTTACTTCTCTTCCCCTCTCCAATAACAAAATTGCATTGACAGGAATGTTTCTATAGTGCTGTGTCAGTTTTCTTAGTATTTGGTTATCCCATTATTTTGAGAAGTGTTGCTATATAATATAAATCTAAATTGTTTTACAGATAAAAATATTTATTGGGCCAGATTATTTTCATGTCTGAGATGTCTCAATGGAAAGAACCTCTGTAAGTTAAAGGGAATTACTGTAGCCTTTCCCTCATGCAGCTGAGAGAAGGCTCTAGCCGAATACAGCGCTTTAAACTTCACAAGTATACCAACTAGGAAAGCTGCCTGCTTCCCACCTCTTCCAACAGGAAAAAACCACCATTCTCATCTGAAAGCAAAGAGCCACACAGAATCAGTCATTACATTTGTTCAGTGGACCTCACATAGGTCTTTTTGTAATGTGGTGCTAAAACACCTACCTGAAGGGCCTCAGGTAGCAGCTGCTCTTCTGGCAGAACCTCTCTGCTGCACTGTCTTCTGGAATGGTCTCCTTCTCTATTCCTGCATTTGTAAGAAGGCTGATTAGAAACCTGGCTTTATATGAATGCATTTGAATATTTATACCTCTGACTTCTGTGTGGAGCCTTGCTCTGCCAGTTGAATGGAACAGCAGCAGTAAAGCTCCTGTCCTCAGCTATGGCTTTTTCTGCAGATGAAGAGGGTACGAGTAACCCTCCTGGGAGGCTGTAGTCTGTGCTCCAGTAAATAAACTCACCCACCAGAGAGGTGGCAGGAAAGTCTGGGATGCTGGCTAATAAAATGATGCTTCGTGAGCCCATCTGGGTTTTATAAAGTCAGTTATTTAAACAACGCAGAGGAAAATTGTCATAGAATGGCAGAAACACCTTATTTGAAAATGCAAACACTTCTCACATGGCAATAGTTTACCTCTGACTCTTCCAAAAACAGTGTGCAGAAGTGTATTGCCAGAATAGATACTTCTGCTGTTTTCATAGGGCTCTTACTTTGTCAGATGTTTATACAAATGGGTGCATGTGTGCAAAATGCTTTTATTTTTCTTTATAAAACTAAAAAGCTCATGTTTGGAATTACCCTTCCGTTGATTCAAAAAGTGGCTTCTTTGGTTTTTGAGACACTGGAATTATTCTCCTTGTGCTGCCATGTATTGCAGTTACGCTTCTAATGCATTGGACAAAGTGATTCATGGGAAAGCAACAGTTTGGAGGCAGATTTTAGCCTGACATATCCTTTGAAATCTTTCCAAATCCTCTCTGGTTTGTTCCTCATTGTGTTGGGCTCACAGCTTCTGCCTCGCAAGGCTGCTGAGATTCTTGCATCTGATCCTACTTCTGTTCTGTCTTTGAAAACAGTTTCAGCATCCCACATCCATTTTGTTCCCCAGGAAGAACAGAGAAGCCTTTTCAAGTTCTTTCTCATCCTTTTCAAGTTCTTTCTCATCCTTTTCAAGTTCTTTCTTATCCTTGAATTCTCTCGGCCTAAGAGGAAACAGGCATCGTTCAGGGTAGTTGATTCTAGACTGATCCTAAAACTTTACTATGACAAGGCCCACAGGGTTTCTGCTTGAAAGGAAATGCTCAGGTCACAGATTTCCATCCTTTCTCAGTGCAGGCAGTCAAGTTCTATAATCCTTTCACTAAATTTATCAAACTCTAGCTTTACTTTTTTTCTCCTGTTTCTCTTACTTCAAGGCCGTTACTGCTGGGGTGGACAGAAACTTCCTTTTCTCAGGCTATATTCACATTCTGTTGATGCTGTTTGTTCCAGTGCCAGCATGGTCCCTCAACTGAACTGTTTCTCCTTTGACATTTATCTTACTGATGTGTTTTTTGGAAGCAATCCTACCCCCTCCCAGCCTTTGTTTCATTAAGGTATAAAAATTAAACTCCTTTGTTCATCTTTGATGTGATACAATCTTCATTCTCTTAATCATCCCATTAATCCTTTGCTGCATCTGTTCCTGGTTTTATTCCAGTTTCTTTGGATAATTCATAAGGAACATGCCAGATGTGTGCTATTGTTTTTTGTGTACCTCCTGGAAGAGCACCCAGGATTTCCCTTCTCCTGTCTGCAGCTCTGTCAGTGATAATAAAAACAGCAAGAGATCTTCCTCCTTTTTGCTGGTTCCACTGAGCATACAGCATAGTGCTAGACATAAGGCTCTGAAAGTGTGGGCTTTGCTTAAGTTTCATTCCATGTGTGTTTGTTTCATCATCAGGAAACCTCTGTTTCTTCCAGCAGGATAAATCCATCTCCAGGCTCACAGTGCCTCCCAGCATGCTGTCCATAGCAGATCCCATCAGCATTCTCATCTCCTGTGCCGGTGTCTAGCGAGAATATTAAATGTCACTATTCCAAAGCTTGTGCCTAGAAATGTCAGTGCTATCTTCCAGCCAGCCTGACTGTCTCTTTCTGTAAAGCTTGCTGTAAAACTTCATCCAGTGTCGCATTGCACTTCTAGGACAAACTGTCATCTTCTTGAGTTCAGCCAATGATCACATATGCTACTGTTCAAATACTTCATGCATCTTTTACAAACACATCAGATGTACAGTGCTGTCCTCAAAATATTGCTATTAGTGACTTAATTTTTCTACCTCAAAAGGGGTTTTATGCAATTTCTTCCATACTTCTAATATTCTTTTCTTTAATTCTACATCTTCCATTCTACGGAGATCGGATTAACCAGCTTGTAGTGATCAGGGGAACTCCCTCTATTCCTTCTTAAAACTACAGGGATATGGTTTGCCTTTCTCTGTCTTATGGCATAATTTATTGGTTGATTCTTTCTATTTACGATGATGTAAATGAGTGAATCAGCATGCAGTTTTGTCTGCTGCTTCATCCAGGGTTATGAAGTTGTGTTCCAAGATGTTCCCCATGGCTGGAATGTTTTGTTCTCTGAGTGTTGCCTTCACTTTCAGTGAAGATTTCAGTCTGCTCTGAACTGACCCTTTCTGTCTACAGAAACTGCATTTTTTGTTATATTCTGTGTTATATTTTGTTATTTTGTTTATAAGTAAAGTCCAGAGGTAGCACCAAATGATAATGTGATTTAGCTTCACCCTGTTTTCTCTTCCTCTGTCACAGGTACACAGAATCATAGAATCCCAGACTGGTTTGGATTGGGAGGGACCTTAAAGGTCATGCAGTTCCAAACCCCTGTCACGGGCAGGGACACCTTCCAATAGACCAGGCTGCATGTTCAAGTCTGAGGTGCCATTCCTGCTAGAACTGGGACCAGTAGAGAATCTGAAGCTGGTGCTTCACTTGAACGTGTCTGTGGAAGCTTCATTTGATATTATTTGCCCAGACATTCAGTGCCAGTGTCAAGAGAATGCTGTGTCCATGTATTGACTCAGGCACTCATTCTGCACCCCCTTTCTCTTCTCGATCAATAGAGTTTTGAGGTTTTAAAAACTACATTTTAGTAGGTGTATATGCTCAAGTCAGTGACATCATCTTTGTTCCATGCTTGGAAAGGAACTCATTATAAAGTCTTAATACAAGGTGTGCATGCAAATGGGCCCTTACCAACTGACTTAGACTTTGTGTTTTTACTCTGGATGCTATTGAAATATTGTGCAGTCAGGAAAAATGTGCTCTGCTTCCAATTTGCTTTGGTGCAGATTATGGAGTCTGGCTGACCATGCCTTGATAGCCCGTTGTAACATGGAAGAAGCGGTGCGGAGCGTCTCTTTCAGTCCGGATGGATCCCAGTTAGCACTCGGAATGAAGGATGGCTCCTTCATTGTTCTTCGAGTAAGGTACAAGGAGAAAATCTTACATTACTTTCTCATATTAGTAGTTTTAGTAGTACATGAGTGAGATAACAGTTTTGAGGCACATCTCCTTGATCATACAGTTCATTTCCTGTCATACACAAGAATGGATACCAGGCAAACTAACTGGTGATAGAAAGACACTTTTAATCAGTTGTAAGATACATGTGAATTCTCCTTTTCCCAGAAGATGACAAGCCTCTTTTTGCATGAATGCATCTTACTCAGTAGGCATTTTCTGTCTGGAATACTATTATGGAAGACACACAAGAGTAGGTAAAACACAAAGTTGTCCATAAGAGTGAAACAGCCAAACAAAATAGTGTGATTTCCTAACACACAAGCTATTTTAATTGATGCTTGGAAGAGATTACTGCTTCCTTAACATCACTTCATATGTTTGGTGAGCATATATTGTAAACATTCCGAACTACTAGTGATAAGAGAGAAAGCCTGTAGCTGATGGAGGATCTGTGAAATCTCCTGTAAATTTACTGCTTAATGACTTTAGCAAAACTTAAATGATCTGTTCATATTAATACAAAATCCTTTTCAAAGACTACTATTTTTTCTACAGAGGTTAATCTTCTTTCTCTCATGGTAATCTTGTCTTTGCTAATTTGCATGATAACTAACATTATTAATCACTCAGCTTGTGGAGACTGTTAATGATAAAACCAGCATTATTGCTTGTATAAGGCCCTCAATGCAATTGCTTTTCCATCTGCTCCTTCCCTGTGACAGACCTTCTGATGGGGTGACAAATCAGCAGCACAGGATCCAGTAAAACTGGGTGATGCCAATGTGTTTTGTTGTCATTTTCTTTGAATCATGCACTCAGCCATATGAATCTGTATTCACTTTTTTCTTGGCCAGGAATGATCTGGATCTATGGAATGATCCAGAGAATGAGCTGCTCTTCTCAGTAGCAATATTGACTAATGGAATAGTTATGTTACCAGTTTTTGGTAATAACTGGTAGCTCTGAGCAGGGCTAAGAACTGATTTGGGGTTTTTTCTCCCAAGACATTTTTTGAAGTTAAAAATAGTTATGAATAAATAAGAATTTTCCTAACAAAATTTCTGCTGTTACTGACATTCTGGAATGTCACCATTTTAAGAGAAATTTCTAACAAACTTAGTCTATTAGGTCTTTTTAAGATCCTGATCATCTGTAACACTAACCTTTCCATTCATATTGGCATCTCTCCGAAATCTCAGTCTTCAGTTATGGATAATTCTCCTTTCAGGACTCTGCTTTTAGCAGTGCTATGTATCAGCATTTTTAAGCAGTAGTAACAAAATTTATTAGGTTTTAAACAGATTTGAGTCTTTTCACAAAGTTTATGTTTCTACCAACAATTAATTAAAGCAGAAATAAGGAAAAGTATTTTAAAAGCTTAAAATACAGAGTAACAGCAGCGTGGTATCCCCAGAAGGCTCTTCCTCCCAGCATTTTCTTATAGCCCAAACGTGTAACCTGGTGTGGATTGTCTTTTTGAATTAATGGAACTGGGACTTGGCTCATGTTCAGTCAACTCAGGGGAAGATTTTATTTTAGTTTAGGTTTAATTCTTTCCTCATAACCTAAGAATTTGGGGAAACCTACTTGCAAAAATCTGGTCTGTATCGTTGGCATTACAGGTTTTGGTTCTTTGATTGATAGGGGGTTATATCAAGTGTAATTTGATAGGGAAAGGTGAATATTTATATAAACAGACTATGTAACTGTTGGATTTTTTGTCAAAGACACATGCAAGGTGTTGTCACTTCTCTGTTTTTCCATTGGTGGGTGATGGCAGTGGTGATGCTGCAACCCCAAACCCACGCACCATGACCAGCTAACTAGTCATGGTGTGTGGGATTAATGGTATCTAACTTTGCCAGTCTATTTGTTAGCCTCTAATCTAAACTGTTTGCCTCTCTTCCCAGAATGTGGGAGTCAATGTGGAGAAGTGGGTGTCTTCCAACATGGTCCTTCTAAGTAAGAAGGAACTCGTTTTCCAACGCCTGTGCAAAAACCCCCAAATTAAGTCTGGTCTAGTTTAGACTAGACAGCTAACTATGTTACAGGTAAAATTAGGTGAATAGACTTAAGAACATCATTGACAGGTAAAGCTGTTTCTATCTTGTGCCGTAAAAGTATGCTTATAGCCAATGAAAGCAACAGGAACTTCTCAAAAAACAGGATGATTTTAGTGCAATCTGGTTTTTGTTGTACAAATTATTCAGTGCTTCTATCTTCATTTTTGTCTTAAATATTTATGATTGCCTGTTCCCAAGTCTGCAGTTCACAGTTCACACTTTCACTGGTGGTTCTTGCAGAGACATGACCGAGGTGGTTCACATTAAAGATCGCAAAGAAGTGATCCATGAAATGAAGTTTTCACCAGATGGCTCTTACCTTGCTGTGGGTTCCAATGATGGCCCAGTGGATATCTATGCCGTGGCTCAGCGGTACAAAAAAATTGGAGAATGCAACAAATCTATGAGTTTTATTACTCACATTGACTGGTCTGTGGATAGTAAATTTTTGCAAACCAATGATGGGGCAGGAGAGAGACTGTTCTACAAGATGCCATGTAAGTTTACAAGTGGTTCATGTTATGGAAAAGTAAACTTCAGTATGGCTTTAATGAGGACAACAAAAATGCAATAGAAATAGTACAACCTGCAAGGGGAGTTTCTTGACTGGACTTACATAAGTATCTGCTGTTTGTTTTGAAAATCAGCGTTCACAGAATATATCCACCTTCAGCTTGCATTAAGTAAAAGCTGTCTCTGCATTTACTTCTGCATAAATTGTATGAGTTTACATAACATGTTTTTATGCTTGTTTATATGCAGCTGCAGTAGAACTTATGTATGATGTCCTCAAATACTACAAATCATGGAATGGTTTGGGTTGAAGGGACCTTAAAGCTCATCCAGTTCCAGCCCCCTGCCATGGGCAGGGACACCTTCCACTAGAGCAGCTTGCTCCAAGCCCCTGTGTCCAACCTGGCCTTGAACACTGCCAGGGATGAGGCAGCCACAGCTTCTCTGGGCACCCTGTGCCAACGCCCCACCATCCTCAGAATGAAATGTGAATATTATAGTAATTTAAATAAAATTGTGAATATTTTTAACTTATTGAGGTTGAAAGACTAATCACAGTAAGAAGACAAAGAAAAAATAGATTAAATGGAGTTTACTGTAAAATGAATGACTAAACTGATTATTCACTTCTGTATTTGCAGCTGGGAAGCACATAGCTAACAAAGATGAGGTCAAAGGAATTCACTGGGCCTCATGGACCTGTGTGTTAGGATCTGAAGTGAGTGGAATTTGGCCAAAATACACTAATGTTACAGACGTCAACTCTGTGGATGGAAATTACAACAGCTCAGTGCTAGTGACTGGAGATGATTTTGGGCTGGTTAAATTATTCAGATTTCCATGCCTAAAGAAAGGTAAGACAGTGTTTTGTATTTCTGAAGAGTGCAGTACTTACCTTGGTACCACATCAGTGTATTTTCTAATGGCAGGTTTAGTGTATAATTCAAGTGACTGTGCACACAATTCGTATTAGTATTTATGGGCATAAAGATGAGACTTTAACCCTCTGTGTATCTAGCAATTTCCTACCAATGTGTATGTGCTGGAGTTTAGAACTGTTGAGAACATACAGTTTAGTGTGTGCTTATTCTCATTTTCTAGAATCTGACTCAGACTTTACATCACATCAAAACTGTATCCACACCAGATGCACTACTATCATCTGTCCACATTTGTGCCACTAACTGTTGCAGAAACTTAGAAGGGTTTCACTGTCAGTCATTTGCTTCACATCTATAGCAGGCTTTTAACATAGATTATTTCCTCAGGGTCTGCACTGTAACGTGCATAAAGGCAACAGAACTAAATAATACAGCCTTTTGGCTTTCCATGATCCATGTGGTATCATATCAGTGTATTTTCAGATAGGAAATTTGAATTTATGTTGATAGTACAGTATGTAATACGTGTGTATAATTCGCATTAGCAGTAATGGCCATGAAGGTGGCAATTAAACCCAATGGGTATCTGGTACTTCCTGCCAAGATTTAAAGACTTCTCTGAAAACTGAAGTGAATGTATCATTCATGTTATTTTATGCCATTTATTTTTACATTATAGTAACTTTGAGCATCAGAATATCAAAAGGCATTTAAGTATTATTTTGTCTTCAGTTTCCGTAAGAGTGTTCAGGCTGCGTTTCCATTAAAAACCAGACTGTATTAGTCACAGTGTTGTGGGGTTTTTTCCTTCTTACATACTGAAAGTCCTGGTTTTGGTTTTAGGAGCTAAATTTAGGAAGTACATTGGCCACTCAGCCCATGTAACCAATGTCCGTTGGTCCCATGATTTCCAGTGGGTTTTAAGTACAGGAGGTGCTGATCACTCTGTGTTCCAGTGGCGGTTTATTCCAGAAGGGATAACAAATGGCATCCTTGAAACATCTCCACAAGGTAAACATGATCTCTTCTGAAGTGTTTGTTAAATAAAACCAACATAGAATGCAGCAGTGGTAAAAAAACTCGTGTTGAGTGAATTCCTTGGGATTACTCAGCATGTTTGGGATACTGCATTTTTCATAGACAACCATTTATTTCAGGCAAGTCTTCTGCAAGCTGCAGTACTGTATGCCTAGGCATACACAAGTACTATTCATCAATGTGATAAAAGCCATTTAGATGGGAGATTACTAGATCAAGATAAATTCTCAGAATTAGCCATCTAACTTGCCTTAAGAAGTCTGAGGAATTCTTTCTCTTTCCAGTGCAATTTCACATATATACGTGATAGCTGCACTTGAGACTGTTTTTCTTGTTCTATTCATGACACTTACAGCATTGTACAATAGCCAGATGAATTGTGGAGTGGCACTTGCTGAAAATTGGGTTCCCTGCAGCAAAAGGGCAAAACTTGTGCCTCCACAGTTTGGTAAAATACCTTTGTAAAATGGATTTGTTACAGCAGATCTATTTAAACACAGACAGCGATCACACCGAAAGGTTTTATTTACCACTTCTGTATGTTTTCACTCCAAAACCTATTAAGAAAACAGTATTTTCTCAGATGATGGGAATGTACCAGTAACTCCTCAGTTATTGTACTTCTCTCTGCCACCTTCCTGCCCCAGGCATCAAAACAGGAGAAACAGAAATGAAACCTGGCACATTCAGTCAGCCCCATGATATTTATAAGCTGCTTAAGCTTCCAAAGTTCTTGAATGCTGCTTCGCCATAGTTTAAGTTATATAAAACCATCATATACTATTTTCTTGTGATTCTGTGTGTTCAAAGGACTGATTTTTATTTATTTATCTTTAATGTAGAGGGTGGTGTTGACTCCTACAGTGAAGAATCAGATTCAGATTTATCTGATGTGCCAGAGTTAGATTCTGACATTGAGCAGGAAGCTCAAATCAACTATGATCGCCAGGTGAGTAAAAACTAACCCACTGTGCCAAATACCTGACAATTTATCATGACTATTCCATAAAGTAAAAGAAGCTTGCAGCTAGTTCAGCAGACTAAGAAGATTATCTTGACAATATTCAGCTGATTATGCAACCAATATACATAAAACCAGAGTTTACTTTAGCTGAAGATGAGAATTCAAAAGGGTTTGGAGAAAAAATAGTTTATGTACTACTATATGTTAGAATAAAGAATATATCTTAAAAAGCACCAAAAATAAACAAGGTTTTGTGAGATCTTATTGCTATTCCCATTTCCATAATAAAAGTTAGAGAAGACTTTTCAGGCCAGTTAGTCTTAGAATGCTAGTTTGTAGAATACAGCTGATGGAGTTTTTGTGTGACTTCTGCATATTCAAAGAAGAATACCAATACTGAGTTTGAAACCTGCATAATAGAGTCATTTGTGACAGATTCTTTTTTATTGCCAAGGACAAGAATGTCCAAGAATTAAAATTCCCCTGGTTTACAGGAACCAGGTAAAACTGGTTTCTAATAATCACTTAATGCATTTCCTTTTAGTAGCAGTGTGCTGTGAGCTAAATTAAGATAGATTGCTTCCACACAAGAAGAACACAGATCAGCATTCTTTACTGCATTGTTTTTTTCAGGAATGGTAGTGTGCCTTTTCACTCTTCAACCTGATCCTTTAGGGTTGATTTATGCTTTGTCACTATGGGCTTGGCTGGTGATCAACCCTGAACTTGGTTACGGACACCGAAATCTGCTTTGCTGCTGTCACTGTGGGACTGCTCCCTCTCTGAGAGGGCACGCTCTTGGCTGGCCTTGTGATCAGGCTCAGCTCCTGGCTCCTCTTCTTCACTCTGCTGCTCCATGACCTGAGGTTTCACCCAACCTCCATCAGGACAATTACACAATACTATGTTAGAAACCATTATTCAAGTCACAAAGTTACATCAAGTTTAGAAAATGCCATAACAAAACATAGTTCTGCCCTTTTTGGGTGCATGGATTATGATTACTCATTGCTGCAGGACTTCTGCTTCATTTGGTGTATGGAACATTTAGTTCTTACCTAACAAGGAACTATTCAATCTATTTTCATTCATCAGCTGCCTTTATTGCACATTGCTTGAACATGTCTCTGGAGACAGAATTGTTTCCCTTGTGGTTCTTTCCATTCCATTCATGATACTGAGTGCTTCACAAACACTGAACTTTATAACAGTTTGTGGTGTGGAAGGGTGATGTTGTCCTTGTTTTCATAGAATCATAGAATAGTTAGGGTTGGAAAGGACCTTAAGATCATCCAGTCCCAACCCTCCTGCCATGGGCAGGGACACCTCACACTAAACCATCTCACCCAAGGCTCTGTCCAACCTGGCCTTGAACATTACCAGGGATGGAGCATTCACACCCTCCCTGGGCAACCCATTCCAGTGCCTCACCACCTTCACAGGAAAGAACTTCTTCCTTATCTCCAATCTAAACTTCCCCTCTTTAAGTTTGAACCCATTACCCCTTGTCCTATCACTCCAGTCCCTGATGAAGAGTCCCTCCCCAGCATCCCTATAGCCTCCTTCAGATACTGGAAGCTGCTCTGAGGTCTCCACGCAGCTTCTCTTCTCCAGGCTGAACAGCCCCAACTTTCTCAGCCTGTCTCCATACAGGAGCTGCTCCAGCCCCTGAGCATCCTCGTGGCCTCCTCTGGACTTGTTCCAACAGTTCCATGTCCTTTTTATGCTGAGGACACCAGAACTGCACACAATGCTCCAGGTGAGGTCTCACGAGAGCAGAGCAGAGGGGCAGGATCACCTCCTTCGCCCTGCTGGTCACACTCCTTTGGATGCAGCCCAGGATACGGTTGCTTTCTGGGCTGCAAGCGCACACTGAAGCCGGCTCATGTTCATTTTCTCATCAACCAACACCCCCAAGTCCTTCTCCTTGGGCTGCTCTGAATCTCTTCTCTGCCCAACCTGTAGCTGTGCCTGGGATTGCTCCTACCCAGGTGTAGGACCTTGCACTTGGCATGGTTAAACTCCATGAGGTTGGCATCAGCCCCCCTCACAAGCGTGTCGAGGTCCCTCTGGATGGCATTCCTTCCCTCCAGGGTATCAACCGAACCACACAGCTCGGTGTCATCGGCAAACTTGCTGAGGGTGCACTCAATCCCACTGTTTTGAAGGAAAAGAAACATTAACATCAAATTCTGCTGTCATCTGACTTTTGCTTCTACTTAAAAATATCTGGAACCTGATTTTTCAGGACCTCTTGTCATCATGAATAGAATATTATTTGTCCTCTTACCTTAGCAGTTGCAATGGTGAAAGTTCAGAATTTCCTCATACCAGAACTGGAATCTTGTACTAAGCATGAAAAATGCACAATGAACTTGGTTCTAGTTGGTTTGAGTGATTTAATATCTGACATAGAGCTGCTTTCTAGAATGTGTAAGGATCGCTTCTAATGTCGCATGGTTTAGCCAAGGACATCCTTTATCTTTTCACCTCACTTGCTGGATCCTGCAATCAGTTGCATAGATCCTTCCGATAGAGCTTATTTTGCCTCTTCAGAGATCGATCAGAGATCATTTCAGGGATGGATCATATTTGCCAAATGAACAGAACAGAGGTTTTGTCACGTTTTCTTCCTCCCCTTTTCTTTACTGTAAGACTCACAGGAGTGTTCCATTTTACTCCTCTCCTCCTCCTTCTCCTGATTTTCTCCATCTGTATTCTAATCAGACAGCCCTCTCCTCCATGCTGTCTATGTGTCAAAAAGGACAGCTGGGTTTAAAACCTGAAAGTGCAAAAATAGGTGTAGGAAGTTAAACAGCAATATTCCAGGCAGGTTAATGCATGAAAGAGCTGGAAGCATCTTGAAATAGAATCTTACACAGGAAGTGTGAGACAAGCCCAAGCATAAGCTGCATTTGCATTTTGATGAAGGAAATGATTTACAGAAGGACATGGAAACAAAACCAGACTTATTTGGGGAATTGGTTTGGGTTTGGGGGTTTTTGATGTTATTTATGAAGCAGTATAGAGGATTCTAGATTTTGAGATGCATTTGAAAATGATTATCATATTCTATTTCATTAGTAGCATACTGAGGGGCAAAAGCAAATGGATGAGAACGCACAGGATAAAGTACACCACATATGAGACACAGGCACAAAATGTTAAGACTCTGTGCCTACCATTTCAAAAGCTCAGCTCCTTATATCAACACCTTCCTTGTAAAAATTCAATATTCCATCTTTGTAGTCAGGTAGATACATGTGGGAATGGCCATCTCATTGTCCTGCAAAATCCAACAAAGGTAAGCACAGAAGGCAAACAATAAAGTTGTGTTTCAGCATTACAATGGGTTTTGTTTGGTGCCACAGCTCTGAAGATGCTTCAAACGTCTTTAGCAGCTCCACAGAGTTTCAGCATTCCTAAAAGTTTTAAATGTATAGTATTTTATATCTTTAGTGTATTTATAGAGCTGGAATTCAACATCAGGATTCTGGACATGGCAAATCACTTCAGTTCTGTTGGTTACTGTATATTTCACTGTAATCCCTATATAGAATCAATTCATTATGTTCAGCTTTGAGTATGTACAGGCAAGTTAAAAAGCACCAAAGAGTTTCAGTCAGTATTTAAATTGCTTTTCACTAAGTGACACTGGAAACTTCTAGAAAAAGCACATTCTGCTGCTACTATTGCAGACTCATGTTCTGGGCTACTCAAGGGGCTTCACTGAGTGGAAAAAGTTGATTATCAACTGAAGTTCTGTAGGACACAACTTACTCTATGCTGCAAGTACTGACCATCACGTTAATACTTAAAGGAAAGCCACTTTCATCCATATACTCAGGTATTTAGCAAACTGGAGATGTGCAATTAACTTTAATCATTATTCTTCAGGTTTACAAAGAAGACCTACCTCAGCTGAAACAGCAAAGTAAAGAGAAAAACCATTCTGTGCCCTTCCTGAAAAGAGAGCGAGCACCTGAGGACAGCTTGAAGTTGCAGTTTATACATGGGTAGAGTAATATTAGATAATATTTGGGTTTCTTTCTGACTGTTTAAACATCCTAGCAATGTTAATTTACATCAGAGCATTTAGCAAAGCATTTGTCAGTGCTTACCTACAATTGATTTGTTATTATTACTGTGGGCAGTTGTTGTGATAGCATAGATTTTCTTTATTCAGTTGTACTTGTTAAGGAGCAAGAGAAGTTTACAGTGCTGTAACCACGTAATAAATAATGCATAAATATTACATTTCAATGCCTGAGTGTTGCATTGGCCTATAAGGGTGCTGGAGAGGGATTCTTCATTGGGGACTGTAGTGATAGGACGAGGGGTGATGGGTTCAAACTGGAACAGGGGAAGTTCAGGTTAGATCTAAGGCAGAAGTTCTTTACTGTGAGGGTGCTGAGGCGCTGGCACAGGGTGCCCAGAGGAGCTGTGGCTGCCCCATCCCTGGCAGTGTTCAAGGCCAGGTTGGACACGGGCTTGGAGCAAGCTGCTCTAATGGAAGGTGTCCCTGCCCATGGCAGGGGCTGGAGCTGGATGGTCTTAAGGTCCTTTCCAACCCAAATCATTCTATGGTTCTGATTCTAATATAACTTGGTTTGTATTTACTTCAGTTACAGAGGCTATGACTGTCGAAATAACTTGTTCTACACACAAACCGGAGAAGTGGTGTATCACATTGCTGCTGTGGCTGTTGTATATAACAGGCAACAACACACTCAGAGGCTGTATCTTGGTCATGATGATGACATCCTCAGCCTAAGCATTCACCCAGTAAAAGACTATGTTGCTACTGGACAGGTGGGTGTTTAGAAATGACCATTAGCAGAACATGGAAATAAATGCCCTTTACGATATGGAGTTGGGAAAAACAGGGTTCTCTTTGTCCTTCAGTATAGTGTTTCCTCCTAAACATAGGTAAGCTGTGTATTGTTTCCTATATCCCTCCCAAACATCTGAGGAGCACTGGAGTGGAAACTATTCAAGGTGATTATTAAATCATTCCTATGTAACAAGAGAACTGCCAATCTTATGCTATGGCCTTGCAAACAATCTTACATTCACTTTGAAACTCTGCTTTCATCTGTAAAATGCAGGAGATTCGGAGGTTTCATTAGGTAGTCTTGGTATTTTTGTACTGTAGTAGCATTCAAAACCTTACTCGGATAAAGGCTGTTTTATGTTGGGCACTCTACAGATAGCTGGTACTGAATCTGGTATGTTCAGTATATTCTTATATGATAATAAATTATGTCATTAACATGATAACAAATGCTGATGATTTAGAGACTGACTAGTGATATTTCTCTAAAAGAGAAAATAGATCTTGAAGAAGATAAAATAAGGCAAGGATGAAAGTAGTTACCCCTGGAGTGTTTCGAAGCTGTGATAGTGCTAATTACTGCTATAGGTGTGCTTTGAACTCCCCTGAGCTGATATTCCAATTAACCCTCTGATTTAGGTTGGAAGAGATGCTGCCATTCACGTCTGGGACACACAGACCCTGAAATGTTTATCACTGCTCAAAGGCCAGCATCAAAGAGGAGTGTGTGCACTGGATTTTTCAGGTAAGCCACAACCTACATTAATCTAAATGCTTAATTAAAAAGCAATGCTTCTGATGAAATCTTCATTTGAGGAGTCAGCCAGCTTTACAACCACTACAAATTCTACATAGAAATTGTCTTGTTAACAGTTAAAACAGCTGACAGTTTTGATAACACTAGTGTGTGTAGTAAAGTCAGTCATGGGCCTTTTGTCAACTGATTGATGACTGATGTCCCTGATGGCTAATCCATAATACCAAGTGCACAGATAGGACTCTGGTGGCTGCCTACATGGTGGCATAATAATTTAAAAGCAGGCAGAATGGTGGCATGAAGTGCACACATGAGATGGAAATGTGATCTGTAGGCTCAGACAGTTCTTTGCTAACAATTCCCACATTTTAGTGAGTCTAAAGAAATAAATATGACAAATTCTGCTACTTGTCTTTCTGAGATGGATGGCCTCAGTTGTCTCAGTTCTCAAAGAGTAAATCCTATGCTCAGCATTGAAAAGCATCATCCACATGGTGGTGACTTACATATGTCTGCATCTTTATAGAAGGGCTTACAAATCCATTCTCCCTTTTCTATTTTTGTAATTAAATTACTTTACCTGAACTATCCTTTTTCCTATCTGATTTTTTTTTCAATTAGATGCAGTTTATTTCATATTCTGCTCTCTAGAAATGTGGTAAGGATTCACTAGGACATAGATCACAGCTACGAGACAGGACTTTAAGAAAGAAGTTTTACTTTCACAAAGATAAGTCTGTGGAACTGAGTCATATTCCATTATCAGAAGAGGAGTCTTGGTGTTCATCCAAGAACTGGAATTCAAATGTGTTATTGCTGATCCACTGTGGTGTGTAACCAAGCTCTGAAGGTAGATATGGTAGCAGAAGAAGTTAAAATGGGTAAGGATGAGCTAACTGACATAGTGTACAGGGATGTTAAAACACTTCTGATCATGATCCCTAGTTGAACACATGCTCATATATGTAGAAAATACCTTGTAGTTTTTAACCATTAGATTCCTGTACAGATGTACTCCATGTATCAGAATCCATGTCCCTCCATAAAAGCCTAAAGAATAAACTGGCCACATATTCTGTGGACATAAATCCGTACAAAAACATTAAAGCTCTTTTTAAAAGTAGCCACTACTGACATCATTACAGCCTTGCTTTAGGACCTGATCCTGAGAATGCACACGTTGCATTCCTAACTGGCTTTAGTTAGGATTCTTTGCATAGAAAGGAGCAGACAGTTGTGCAAATATGCACCTCACTATGGGATCAGAGTGCTGCTTTGGTCTTGTGTAAGCAGTTTTCATTGTGTTAATAATAGCTATTTCTAAATTAGGTTCAGGTCACACTTCTTGAAGTTGAAAGGGAGAAACCTAAAACTCCCAACCTTTTTTTTGGCTGTAGTTGACCTTGTAGGTGACTCTGTACTCCCAGTTCTCTCTGCCCTTATTCACTTGCTAAAACATCTGCTACTGGTCATTACTGAAAGCATGTGCAGGGCTGGACCACTTCTGTAGGACCCTTCTGATGAAGTTATGATTCAAAGATTATGAGTTCATTCATGCAATGTTTGTCTATGCCCTCTGGTGGCTAATTTAACTATAATTGTGGATAGTAATTGGAGTGTATAGTCCATACTAGTGCATAAAACCTCCTGTTTCAGGGGAATAAAGTTAACATTGTATTTTTACCAACAAAATTTTGTCAATGTGTTCCATTCACATAATTGAGTTACCCCTAAAAATAATTGTCATCAAAACATACAAATATACCTTTCAAATGGTGCACATTATTGCATATTTGCCTCTCATATCAGCTATCATTATAGCATTTTATCTCACTAAAACTGTTACAGAATAGCTGTTCTGTTTCTTTTCTCATTAATTTTGTGTCTCCTTGTTTGTTTCAGTTTAATTTTTAATAAACTTGGTTTTGGTTTCCTGTCCTGTTTTTTTACCTTCCTTCCTCCCTGCCTTCTTACACTCCTTCCATCTAGGCCTACTTCATTCAACTGTGAACTCTTTTCCTCTTTCTGTAATTCCCCTTCTCCTTCTTGACTTGCTTCTCACAGAACTCAGTCACTAAATACAGTGAGCCCAGCCTAGCTGTGAGAACCTGGTTCCAAAGTTCAGCCTGGTGATCTCTGCAGTAGTTCCATGGAATAATTCATAGAATCATAGAATGGTTTGGGTTGGAAAGGACCTTGAGATCATCCAGTCCCAACCCCCTGCCATGGGCAGGGACACCTCACACTAAACCAGCTCACCCAAGGCTCTGTCCAACCTGGCCTTGAACACTGCCAGGGATGGAGCATTCACAACCTCCCTGGGCAACCCATTCCAGTGCCTCACCACCCTAACAGTAAAGAACTTCCTCCTTATATCCAATCTAAACTTCCCCTGTTTAAGTTTGAACCCGTTACCCCTTGTCCTATCACTACAGGCCCTAATGAAGAGTCCCTCCCCAGCATCCCTATAGCCCCCTTCAGACACTGGAAGCTGCTCTGAGGTCTCCACGCAGCCTCTCTTCTCCAGGTTGAACAGCCCCAACTTTCTCAGCCTACCAGTGCACTCCTTCTACAACCTGTGAAGTTCAGTTGTCTTATCATATACTCCAACAGTTATGGTTTAGCTTTTTAGACTTTTCCAATTTCATGACAGGAGTTTGTCTCTAGAAGTTTGTTAACAGTGATCTTGTTTCTTGTTATGTCATACACGTAGCAAGGATGCCTAGGTAGAGTTGAATTATGTATGATCTTCTGTGCTTGCCTTTCTTCCCCTCATTATCAGTAGTGCTGTGTCTTTCCTGCAGTCAAGAGATGATAGCCAGCAGTTATATTTAGCCTTACAATTTTCTATCATACTTACAGTTTCATTCAGTTGTCTATTAACTTTTAACCACCCATTTCATTACACACTCATAATTCTTGTCACCATCTCAGGCACAAGAAAAGAAGCATCATCTGATCAGAAATGTTTCAAATGTTTTGGAGTACTTGGCCTTTATGAAATTGACTTTCATTGTCTTGCTTGATCCTACCTTCCTTCCTTGTCCTTAAACACAGGGATGTTTTTTATCTGCCTTTGGGAAAGATCAATGGTTTCATAAGGAATAGGAATTATAAAAGAAAATAATTATAATAGAAGATAATAAAGCCAAAATAACACCTTTTATAGATAAGAATAGATCCTTCTAATAATCCAGTTAAAAATCATAGAATCATGGAATGGGTTGGGTTGGAAGGGACCTTAAAGCTCATGCAGTTGCAACCCCCTGCCATGGGCAGGGACACCTTTCACTGGAGCAGGTTGCTCCAAGCCTCATCCTACCTGGCCTTGAACACAGTGAGGGATGGGGCAGCCACAGCTTCTCTGGGCACCCTGTGCCAGCGCCTCAGCACCCTCACAGGGAAGAGCTTCTGCCTTATATCTAACCCCTCGGCTTAAGTTTGAACCCATCACCCCTTGTCCTATCACTCCAGTCCCTGATGAAGAGTCCCCCTCCAGCATCCTTGTAGCCCTCTTCAGACACTGGAAGCTGCTCTGAGGTCTCCACGCAGCTTCTCTTCTCCAGGCTGAACAGACCCATTTTTCTCAGCCTCTCTTAGTACAGGAAGTGCTCCAGCCCTTGCTCATCCTTGTGGCTTCCTCTGGACTTGCTCCAACAGCTCCATGTCCTTCTTATAAGAAGAAGGATGTAGTTAAGCAGAAAACACTTTTTGCCACCTATAACACAACCTGGTGTGTCTCTGATAAGGGTGATGCCATATTAAAGTCACCTTGGTTAAGAAGAGGAAGGCTGGGTCATGGATTAATAGAGTGCTCTGTGAAATCTTGATGAGTCATCACACAATAGGTATTCACTTTGGTGCTATCATACTTGTGGATAAAACTGTCTGCAGATAAAGACTTGGTCATCTTAAGAGGTTGGGCAGGTTGACTGTCTCAGTTCACTTGTCTAATTCTGCATGCAGTCTGCTTTAGGAACTGAAGGCCACCGGTGAATGTGAACCTTAATCTCTCATAGCCTTTTGCTTCATTTACAGTATATCATTTGAGATTCAGCTTGTGGTGTATTTGTTTTGTTCATTGCCTGTTTTCAGCTAAAGCTGTAGCACCTTTAATATTACATATTGCTTCTGTACAGCTGATGGAAAATGCTTGGCATCCATTGGGCTCGATGATAATCATGCCATCGTGTTTTGGGATTGGAAAAAAGGAGAAAATGTCCCCCATGATTAGCAACAACCAGGTGTAAGAATACATCTCAGAATGAATGTCCCCCATGGTTACATTTCTCTATGTAGTACCAACCACATTTATTGCTATGTTTATAGGAAAAAACAAAACATCTCTCTGCAAACCAAATGGTGGTTCAGAGCAATATATCCAGATTAGAAACCTTGGGATGTACGGCTTAGTGTTTGGAATTCCTGTGAGCTACTTCTGTCAAGAGATCCCTAACATTTCTGTTAGATAGCAACATTGACATTGTAGCTCATTTAATGATTTTCAAGTGAAGTTAATCTTTTCTCTCAGTTTTATGTCCTGATTCAGGGCAGAAGTCATCAGAGGTGTCATATATTCCTTTATGCATTAGACAACATGCTGGGTTCCATCAGTGCACATAACCAGATTGCTTTCTAAAAAGCAAAAAGTGTTCCCTCTAATAGAAGTAGATTTTTCAAGGCCTACTGATCTAGTCTTCTTTCTGAGTCAGCTGTTTCTGAGACATTTACTCTTTGCAGTTACCAACTGAAGGCTTAGACAGTAACCTGAGAGTGAAGAAGCTTTTGCAGTTGCTTGAAGGGACCAGTGTTGGGGAGAGGGTGGGATTACAGTCTACATGTTTGCTTTTTTCCTTCTAAAATGTTGAACTACAAAATCTTCTTTATTATGGAATCATAAAACAGTTTGTGCTGGAAGGAACCTTCAAAGCTCATCTAGTCCTGCGATGAGCAGGGACATCTTCAACTAGATCAAGTATGAATGTCCCCTGTGATTTATACTATCTAGTTGTATATGACAGAAGAATCAAAGTGTTTGAGGACCTTCTTTCTGTCTTACCCTTGGGCAAACCAAATGTACCTCTAGAGTTGTGTAGATACCATGTAAGCATGGGCTTGTGTGTCAGAAAGGCAAGGACTTAATTTCATACACTGACAGCAACTATGTAAGGTCTAGCACAGGTCAGTATAAGTTATTAGAATAACTGCAAAAAAGTGCCTGTAAAAGATAATTTACTTTTATTATTATATAGTGACATGTTCCGGAAGAAATAAGGTTTTCTCATTGCAGCACTATCTCTTCGCTGTATACCATTACTGAAGAAAGAAACACTTTGATCCAAGTGTGTGGGTACCATGATCTGTATCAGCTATACCATGTTGTCTCAGACATCCCATTTATCAGGCAGCAAGATTTCAGATCCTGCTTAAAATCTCTGGTGTGGGGCTTGCTTAGCAACAGTGTTGTCTGTGCTGGAAAACGTGACATTTTCTTTTGCTTTGCAGTCCTGGTTTCACTGTCTGCACACAGACTGTGCTTCAGATGACACAAGTGAAAGAAACACCACATATATTCCCACAGAGGCCTGCTAAGCTTTAAAAACAAGGTGATGATGGGCTGTATGGCTCACTGTCTCATGTTGCTTACAGGACAGATAGAAGATCTAGTACGCAGGTTGTTTTCAGTGTATAAAGCTGCATGTACCCAACAGTTCTACTATGGTCACTAACCTGTTATTTTGAAAATACTCAAGAGTCCTGAAAAAGAGGAAAAGAAAGAGTTTATCTTCTAAAATATTCCAATTTATTGTTTATATTTTTGAAGTGCCTAAAGGCAAGTCCCCCGTTCTGGCAGGCACAGGAAGACATATAAAGAGAGAGACAAAAAGCAAGACAGGAGGGTTTACATCTGAATTTTAGATGTAAGCCTCATGTGACAAGATAGAATAGAATTATAGAATGTATCTCACATGAATAGAGAAGAGATCCAGAGCAGCCCAAGGAGAAGGACTTGGGGGTGTTGGTTGATGAGAAAATGAACATGAGCCGGCTTCAGTGTGCGCTCGCAGCCCAGAAAGCAACCGTATCCTGGGCTGCATCAAAAGGAGCGTGACCAGCAGGGCGAAGGAGGTGATCCTGCCCCTCTGCTCTGCCCTCGTGAGACCTCACCTGGAGCATTGTGTGCAGTTCTGGTGTCCTCAGCATAAAAAGGACATGGAACTGTTGGAACAAGTCCAGAGGAGGCCACGGGGATGATCAGGGGCTGGAGCACCTCCTGTATGGAGACAGGCTGAGGAAGTTGGGGCTGTTCAGCCTGGAGAAGAGAAGCTGCGTGGAGACCTCAGAGCAGCTTCCAGTATCTGAAGTAGGGCTATAGGGATGCTGGGAAGGGGCTCTTCATTAGGGACTGTAGTGATAGGACAAGGGGTAATGGGTTCAAACTTAAACAGGGGAAGTTTAGATTGGATATAAGGAAGAAGTTCTTTCCTGTGAGGGTGGTGAGGCACTGGAATGGGTTGCCCAGGGAAGTTGTGAATGCTCCGTCCCTGGCGGTGTTCAAGGCCAGGTTGGACAAAGCCTTGGGTGCCATGGTTTAGTGTGAGGTGTCCCTGCCCATGGCAGGGGGGTTGGGACTGGATGATCTTAAGGTCCTTTCCAACCCTAACTATTCTATGATTCTATGATTCTACTCTATGACCTTTGCAGACAAGAAGAATAGGACAACTCCTTACAATCATCTAGACCCACAAGAAGAATTCATCTGAAGGACTAATTCTGAAAAATGAAGTGTGCATTCACTGCATACAAACATCCATTATATTTATTCTGGAGTTATTTGATATTTGTTTCTAATGAATATTCTCTTCATTTAATCATTTTAGGATAATTTATTTCTGCATGACTTCTCTGTTTTCTTTCCCTGTTGCAATGTTCAGGATATCCTGTTTTTTATTTGTTTTAATTGCATCCTGGATAAATGATGCAGCTTGTTTCCCTATCTTGCCTCTACAGTCTTCTGTCTAGTTTCCTTAAAATCCTTATTGAGTAAGTGTAGCTTTTAGAATCAAGATGTATCTGAGCTTCCCTCGCCAGCTTCTCGTGCCTCATATGTTGGGGGCACTGCTGGTCCAATGTTTTGTGTTAGTAGGCTGCAGTCCCTAAGGGAGCTGAGAGTCAAATGCATTTACAATCTAAATCAATGAACATCATGCTCTGATACTTCTTTCTATAAGAGCAAACTTCCTGTGCCAGCTCCTTAGAACACAAGGACACAAAGGAAATCAGGGTAGAAACGTACTGTCCAGATCTCCTGTGTCAGCACTATTCAGCCTACCACAGATGCAGACATACTCTCATCATCTCACAGGGACTCCTGCACTGGGATGCAATTAGTTTGATTTTGCACTCTGGGCAGTACGTTTTGCCTGTGTGATAGATGCTTCCAGAAGCAGCAGTGTAACTGGCCTGATCTGAAAGGCTGGGCATTATTATAGCAAAGTAGATGAACAAAAGAAGAAGGAATTGCAAGATGTACTTCAGATGTCAAAGGGGTAAAGGACTGGTTTTCATCTAGCTGATTCACCTAAAGAAAACATTGAATCCAAGGAGGGTATCAGAACCATGTGATTTCCAGAGCTACTGAATCTGATAGATGAAAGTGTCATTGTCACAGTATAAGACCTGGAAATACACACTGAAAAGCTGGGAAGTGTTGGTTTTGGTATTCTATAAAACGCTGAGATATAAATAATTGCTCCTTTTTGCAGTGCTGAAACTTAAACTACATATTCCCATAAACACATACTCCAACAAGAATAGTTTAATTACCCAAGAACTGAATTAGAAGGTGTATGTGCTGCTGAATGAACTGTTACCTAAACTATAATTATATAATTTGGGTTTTTAGTTCTTGCCTTGAAGCACGGTATTTTAAACACTTCCTTGTTTTTCTTGACTATTAACAGTATTTATTGAGTTCTTACCCACTTAAATATTTATGTTGCCCTTTACACCTTCTCTTAATTGCACTGACCTTTGTGTAGCCTGCTTCTTCATCATGACTTAGCTAAACTGAAATTCAGTGGGAGACAATATTTATTCACCAGGTTTCTGAAGGATTCCAAGGCTAAACTCTTGCAGATCAGAAACACAGTGCTCTACTTTCTATTGGATAGGGTAAGGATGGGAGGGATAATGAAGACATAGCCTCTGTGGCTCATCCGCCAATCCTCACTGTGTTGCAGACCCATAACTGCACCAGGAGTAGGACAGTCATGGTGACAAGATTCTCATTGCTAAAGACCATGTCAGTCCATACAATGAAATGCCTGTTTAGAACAAAACAATTTGGAATGTTAGCTCATCTCTTACCATGTACTTTTATTTTTTGTTTTTATTGCAGGGGCCATAAAGATAAAATATTTGTAGTGAAGTGTAATCCACATCATGTAGACAAACTAGTCACAGTTGGGATGAAACACATCAAGTTTTGGCAGCAAACAGGTACTGTATTGAATATTTTATATGTAATTTGTTTGAGACTGTGTATACTTTTAATACAGGAACACTATGTTCTCGGTTTAAGAATTTGTTTTATTTGTAAAGCAATTTTCTTATTACCAAAATAAGAGAGGGATAAGAACCTACCTGTGAATCAGCAAACATCCCAGTAGACCTTTCTCTTTGGAAGACATTTCTAGCTATTTGGTTTTTAGCTCTATTCATACCATTAAGGATTTCTCCTGAACAAGCATCCTTGGCTCGCAGAAAACACACAATCCTGTCATTCACTTGGGCAGATTATGACCCCTGTGAAAGCACCTGCTGGTAGCTGCAAATCTTAGGTGCCTCTGCCCCGCTGCTGGAAACAGGAGTGTTTGTTCTTCAGGTATTGTTGGGACACTTCTGCAACCCTTCAGTTTCAAGATAGAGCTGGTTTTCAGTCACCAGAGATGGCTTCCAGAGGTGGAAGTACATGTTTCGTGGTGCAGGCAGGTTTGAGGATGGACCTTAAAATGTGTGCCCCGGCAAAACAAAAAAAAAGAAGAGAAAAACAGGGTGTTTTGCAGAAGCTGAGTTATAACAATTTGGGCTAAAATTCATAACACAGTATCACAAGAACCAAGATATCATGGTAATCTATTTTCTGTATGACACAGAAGGTTTGTTTCCTTTTCTAAATAATGAAAAATGGAAGTGTGTTTTCCATTCTTTCAAAACAGGATAAGATTCTGCACACTAATAAGCAAAATATTCAGAATGGGAAGTAGCTGTTGGTCTAGACTTGTGTCAGACTGAGAAAGAGCTGGTTTCTGATTGAGGGTGGTTTTATTCTTCATGATTTTTTGTTCTTCATGACTTTTAATTGCATAGACACTACATGAGCACTTGGTCCAAGCATCTTGGAGAGCATCTTTTGTGTGGAAGGTTGGCAGGGCAAGGGCAGCTAAAAATAGAGCTCAAGACAACTCAGAATCAGGTAGCTTTATGAGGCTCCTATACTTACACCATACTTGACAGCATTCAAGTGGTTCAGGTGCTCCCAGATTAAAAAGTACATTTTTCCCTGCGTATTTTATGTTAAGGTTATTTTTGTGATGATTAAATACACTTTCAGTGCTGCTTGCTAAATTCCATTGCAGGACTTCATGTTAAGCAGTATCTTATTCAAAGTACAGTCTCTTTGCAATAAAAATGGTGTATTCTGGATTAAGATTTGCTCCGTGGGACTCTCGGTGTGGTGTTAATCATGAAATACATGATGACTTGGCAAAAGGACACCACTGCTGTTTTATTTTGTACTTATATGTGTATTTTAATCTGTAAGTACTCAGTTCATGGGTGCATACAGCTACTCCTGCTTTCGGAACTGAAGTAACACTGTGGCAACTTGGTTCTCTGATGAATAAAACAGGAACAAATCCTGCCATTTATTCTGCAGAACTCCTGCCAAATGGCCAGGTTGTTAGTGGACAAGTAAAACGAACCTCTAGTATCTTGTGTAGTTGTGATCACCTGTAAAAGGGAAAATGCTTGGCAGGAGCTTGGCAGGCTGTTTTGTGCAAAAGCCCTCCTGCCAGCCATTGTGTTAGTACTTTTTACACAATTCCTCACTAAATTTACCATTTGCTTGCTGAAAAATAAAGTCTGTGCTGCTTCAAAACTGTCATTACTACATTGATTTTCTTCTGTTATGTTTGTCCCGTGTACTCTGTTTTCAGTATTTCTCTAATCTACTCCATCATAGATAATCAAAGGGGATGATGGGGTCAAGACGTTTGTTTTTACAGCACTATGGCTGCAAACTGGAATCCAGACAGATTCCTTTTGTTCATGGTGCAGGTGGAGGCTTTACATCAAAACGAGGAACGTTTGGAACTACTGGAAAACTGGAAACTATGATGAGTGTCTCATATGGGCGAATAGAAGATCTGGTTTTCTCTGGTGCTGCCACTGGAGACATTTATATCTGGAAGGATACTCTGTTGCTGAAGACAGTGAAAGCCCATGATGGACCTGTATTTGCCATGCATGCATTGGATAAGGTATTTAGCATCTGATGTGACCCATTCATCTTTATTGGCTCTGTTGCATCGCTGGATTTTAGAAGTGTGTAACTCACATACCTTCCAGTGAAGTTACTCAGGGTAACTCGATGTGTACATGAGCAATACATTGTCCTACGTTGCATTAACACTGAAAATGTTTTAATAATCAAAACCATAACGGAAAACGAGCTGAACTGTATGAATCTGGATGTGATTAAAATCACAAACCCAATATTAATGCGTTCTATTATTTGATAGACATTTATTTGTAAGCACCATGTCATTATGTCATTTTAACCATGCCAAGTGCAAGGTCCTACACCTGGGTCAGAGCAATCCCAGGCACAGCTACAGGTTGGGCAGAGAAGAGATTCAGAGCAGCCCAAGGAGAAGGACTTGGGGGTGTTGGTTGATGAGAAAATGAACATGAGCCGGCTTCAGTGTGCGCTCACAGCCCAGAAAGCAACCGTATCCTGGGCTGCATCCAAAGGAGTGTGACCAGCAGGGCGAAGGAGGTGATCCTGCCCCTCTGCTCTGCTCTTGTGAGACCTCACCTGGAGCATTGTGTGCAGTTCTGGTGTCCTCAACATAAGAAGGACATGGAACTGTTGGAACAAGTCCAGAGGAGGCCACGAGGATGATCAGGGGCTGGAGCAGCTCCTGTATGAAGACAGGCTGAGGAAGTTGGGGCTGTTCAGCCTGGAGAAGAGAAGGTGTGTGGAGACCTCAGAGCAGCTTCCAGTGTCTGAAGGAGGCTATAGGGATGCTGGGGAGGGACTCTTCATTAGGGGCTGTAGTGACAGAACAAGGGGTGATGGGTTCAAACTTAAACAGGGGAAGTTTAGGTTGGATATAAGAAAGAAATCCTTTCCTGTTAGGGTTGTGAGGCACTGGAATGGGTTGCCCAGGGAGGTTGTGAATGCTCCATCCCTGGCAGTGTTCAAGACCAGGTTGGACGAGGCCTTGTGTGATATGGTTTAGTACGTAAGGCAGGGGGGTTGGGACTGGATGATCTTAAGGTCCTTTCCAACCCGAACTATTCTATGATTCTATGTCCTTGTGGTCTGACCAATAGCTTTCTGACCTGGGAATATCCATCATTTATTTCTCAGTGAGAGAGAATACACTCAAGCTTGTCATTGTTATATTTGTAAACCCCAGGAGAGTAACAGGAGCCATTCATTGCCTCTTCAACCTGATCCCCAAAATACGTTTGCATTATCAGTTTCCAAAATACAAAACATGAATTTTTAATAGTATTATCCCTGTACCTTAAGCAATCAAGACTTTGAATATCCAAAGCTTTTGTGTCTCTGAGTTATTTATTCCAGATAGCAAAAAGTATTTTTCTTAAGCTGCATCAAGAAATCTTTAGAAGAAACTATGGCAAAAAATACCATTGGCATCACATGAACAAGGCTGGGGCAAAGTTTTGCCACTGGCAGTTTGAAGATGCTGATAATGGAACATCCTTTTTGAGGTTATAGTTTCAACTTCAAAAGTATAGCAGGAGGAGAAGAATATTAACGATAAACATTTTATAGATCAAGGTCACTTAAAATCCCTGCGGCTCAGTCCTTTCTGGCCCTAGCTGATTGTTCCCAGCTTTTTCATCAGGTTTTCTGTTTGATCTTGGCACTCCATCTTCTGAACATCCTCTTCCCTTACTTTTTTCTTGGTTAGTTATTTATGCTGTATTTTACACTCACTTGGCACAGATGAAGAGAATCTACCAAGGGTATTAATCAAAGAATTGGTTCCTATGCATTATTAGAACTCAGTTTGAAGCATCTGCTAAGTGAAACTATTTTACTAGCTACTTGTCTGGAGATGAAGCACGTATTTTTCCATAGTTTATTTTCACATGCAGAAAAATGTTATGGTCCAGCAATAGTGTTCAATCTGCAGGGTTATCAGTCTTTATAACCCTGAAAAACCAACCCTCTAATCTTATCACCTTCTGTATTTTTTTTCATAGGTGTAGGCTCCAGCATTTTGAATTCAACACATAAATAAAATGCAGAGGAGAATTTATACCATCCTTGGACATGTCTTTTTAAATGTTAACTTAGGAGCACTGACATTTGCCTGTTTCCATTCTGTGATCACACAGGGGTTTGTAACTGGTGGAAAAGATGGAATCGTGGCTCTGTGGGATGATATGTTTGAACGATGTCTGAAGACGTATGCTATTAAAAGAGCAGCACTATCTGCTAGTTCTAAAGGTATTATTTTTCAGTGTGTTTTAATAAGAACTATATGCAGGAAGGCTGGTATAGGGGCAGCAATAGATGTCAAACTTACCAGAAAACAAAGGGAACTGTAATATATTACTTACTACTCCATGCTGTAATTCTCTGTTTGGATTGCTGCAAGTTGCATTTCACACAATCTTTGCCATTTCTAGTTTGCTCTGCTGTTTCCTCCTCTATTCTGTGACATTTGGCTCTGTTTTCACTGAAGAAATGATTTTGAAAAGGAATGTCACAAGCCTGTGAGTCTGGCTGCTCCAAAGCCTGTTCTTTTTAGCAGCTAGCTGCCTCAGCTGGACACGTCTCATGTAGTGAGACCAAGGTCCCTTTGAGCTGGAAAGCCCTGTTAAATTGTGCTTCCAACAGGCATCAGGTGAAAGCCTGTACATTCACAGCTAATGACAGACTTAACATCCATGGTGCTGGAGCAGCTGAACCCCTGGTACACTGTCACTGTTAAAGCAGTAAAATACCAGCCTTTATATTGCCACAGGAATATAAAGCACAAGCTCCCCTCCTTTGAACTGTTAATTAAATCCAGGGGTTATGCAGTAGTTTGATCAGGCAAATGTATCTCATGTTTCATGATTTTAAAGAGATTTTAATTTTAGGTAGCATCAGCTGTGTGAACTGTGGGTGATATGAGGCTCTCTTTGATTTCACAATAAAAACCTTAAATTAACTTTTTTATATTCTTCAGGTTTACTGCTAGAAGACAATCCCTCAATTCGAGCCATCAGTCTAGGACATGGGCATATACTAGTGGGAACTAAAAATGGAGAGATACTTGAAATTGATAAAAGTGGTCCTATGACTCTTCTTGTCCAGGTACAGTATGGATCTCCCATATCAAAATACTCCCTGTAGAAACAGAAGACATTATAAGATTTTCCCAGTCCTTTCCTTTCTGTTTTCATTAGCCCTGTTGGCCACCATTCCTTTCCTCACTTAGGCAGAAGTTGATGCTTTCTTATGTAAATGACTTTGAGATTCACTGTGGATTCAGAATTCTGAGGGTGAAATGAACAGTCCAATAGGTCCAAAGGCTGATGGGGCTTTTTATGACTTTTGTAGGCGTTATAGTTTAAAGAAATCTCTTTTTACAAGCCGAAGTGTTTTGCAAAGTTTAGTGAAAATAAATCATATATATGCCCACTGCTGTATTTGATGTTGCATTGGTTTAGTGTCTTAACCCTAATGTCTATATGTAGAAAACCCTATGTATCATTTACTGAGTTATAATCTGTCAAGCTGTTACTTTTTGTTGTCTGTAACTGGCTAAATTAACGTTATTCCTTACGAATACATTGTTTCTTTAGTATTTTTTGTTCTAGTCAGTTCTAATCACACAAAATAATGTTTCGGATTGTCATTGCCTGCATGACAGCCTTGCTAACCTGAACATAAAGTTGTAAGTTATTTAACGCATTCACTAATTTGGAATTGCAATCTCATCCTAATATATTTGTCTTCAGATGAATACTAAGGTTGTGAGATAGTAAAATTACCTTGGAATTACCTGATTGCTATGAGTTTTCTGAGAAAGTGTTAGAATTGTCATCCATCTAAAATGACATCTTTAAATGCATCAGCTTGAGCCAAAATAGAGAATCCATAAGGTGTAATCAAGATGTGATGAGAATTCCTCCCCTTTTCCTGTTATTGGTATCTTTCTATCTCAACCAAACCAGTTACCAAACTGAAATCCAGATTGAGAATAATGAGAAATGATTTCACCTCAAACTGCAGGGCCAGCAAGCTGTGGCAAGTTGAAAACTGAGCTCTGAGGAAATATTAAAAGAACTGAATATGTGTATGTTGGACAGAGAAGTTCTTTAGGATCTCAAAAATGACAGAAGCCTTGAAGACAGATTAGCCCATGTTAGAATTTCATGATAAAGTCATATTTGAGGCATTACTATTTCTTGTTCATTTCAAGTCTGGAAGAGAGAGCATTAGAAGCAGGGGAGTTACAGCTAGTTAACAGTGGAGGAGACTATGGAAAAGTATATTTTAGATGGTTATCAGAGGAAACAGACCAAACAGTCAGGTCTCTTTGTATGTGGAAATTCTTTAAGAGGAGATGGTGAAAGCCTTATTGCTTGGGACTTGTAAGGACCTACACAAACCCAAATGCATTATTTTCTCTTATATTCGATGTTTTCCTTTAGGGGCATATGGAAGGAGAAGTCTGGGGCTTGGCAGCTCACCCTCTCTTGCCTGTCTGTGCAACAGTGAGTGATGATAAAACACTCCGAATCTGGGAGCTCTCATCCCAGCACCGCATGCTGGCCGTGAGGAAACTCAAGAAAGGTAATTCTCATTTGGCCATACACTGGGATGGTTATGATGCCACTCTGTTCCTGGAACAGTCCCATCCTTGCTTTCAGTGCTCATCACAGGCATTAATTAGGTAGGAAGAGGACACAGTCATTAAGAAATTGGAAGCATACTAAGTGAATTCTCTTTGGCATGTGTCAAGTCAATGAAAAGGGTAGAAAGAAAAAGGATGATAATCTATTGTAATGAATGATAATAAAATTAACTTTAATATATTTTCAATGGATTCCAAGTGGAATGACTTGACCTTGGAATTATTTTCCTTCCTAAGAATACTTATTTAAGGCTGGCATATATTTTTGCTGACATTCAAAAGTTTCCTTATGAAGACAAATGTAAAATGTTCTTCATGGTGAGCACAATCAGTGGCAACATGAATGTTACACGTTATTCTAACTTCTCTGAAAATGAGCAGTTTTCCTGCCCTCTCCTCTGTATAAAGTTGGATAAGCTATGCTGAAACGCTGTCTTCCCAAAGTTACTCTTATTTCATTTATTCATCGATATCCTTTAGGAAGTTTTCTGGTGGAAATTCAACATGCTTCATTTTCAGTGACAGGTCCAGAGCACAGGAACTCTAATTGGATGAGGAAAACCAGAGTCAGGTGAACTCAGGGATGGAGGAGGATATCTGTATGAGAGAGCATGGTCAGAAATAATGGTGAGGCCAAAAGTAAATGGAGGAAGTGTAGCCCATCTCTGTTTTGAATGTGTTTCACCTGCCAGAAACCCTTATTCAGTCGTGTAACAAAGAAGCTTTCAGTGCAGTATTTCTAAAAGACATATAGTTATGCTGCCTGTACCAGTCTTGGAATTTTTCATCTGGATATCCTTTCTGTTCTTCTTTTGTTTTGGATTTTTGCCATCATTGGCCTGTTTAGAGCACAGCTGCAAGGTGGTATTTGCACCTAAACCCATTCCAAGTCTTATCAAATCACAGAAGGTACATTCCCGCTTAGTAAAACATTAATCATAGCCCTCCTATCGCATAATATATTGGTTTTAATAAACAACAAATCTATTTAAAAGGTATGTACTTGATATAAAAACCTTTCAGTTGGAGTTTTTTGATGGTTTTCTCACTCCCAAGTTTGTAAACCTGAAGATACTCCCTCCCCTTTTCTTCTGCAGGTGGACGATGCTGTGCCTTTTCTCCCGATGGGAAAGCCCTGGCTGTAGGCTTGAATGATGGGAGTTTTCTGGTGGTAAATGCTGACACTGTTGAAGACATGGTCTCTTTTCACCACAGAAAGGAAATGATCTCAGATATAAAGTTTTCACGAGGTATAATCAGATGATAAGGTGAAAGGGCAGCATTTATCTTGGAGTTTGGTTTTCTCCTCTAGACAGAAGAGTGAATGTTCAGAAGGTCGACTGGCTTTATGTGTGCTCCATTGAAATACTTTGCAATTCTGTATGGTTGTATGCAACCCAGTATAATGGGGCCCACCCCAAACTGGTGCATTTGGTTGCTCTACAGTAGTAAAAATGCATAACAATACTAATTATAACATGTACAGCTTTAATAACCTTGGTGTCTCTTCTTTACAGAATCAGGGAAGTACCTGGCTGTGGCTTCCCATGATAATTTTGTAGATATTTACAATGTGCTTACCAGCAAAAGAGTTGGCATTTGTAAAGGTGCATCCAGCTATATCACGCACATTGACTGGGACTCGAGAGGTAAAATGTTTGACCAGAGATACAGATTTAAAATGCCTGTGAAACAGAATAACAGAAAGCTGTTCTCGTACCAGTTATTAGCATAAACTGTCACTACTAATGCAAATGATGTTTCATTATTAAGCACCATATGGGTTCAGTGCAATTACATTTGCTGGTGTCCAATTTGCTTGCTTCTTTGCTGATCATTACATGGCAATCACTGCAATGAAGTTAGAGAGCCTTATTGTCACAGCTAATTACATCTAGCAGGATTGATAATGAACTCTTGCAAATAAGCCTTCCCAGACCTAATATGATTCTGTGTGGAAACACCTGCGTGTCTGAGCCCTGCTCTCCGTATTGTGCTAGTCCCAAAATGTGGTGCAAGCTCACTGCCCACAACAGGAGCTAAATTCCTTGCAGAATTCATTCAGGTCTGAGTGCAATTCTTAAGCTGGAAATAGAAAACCATGCTACAGCTGAGCAGGTACCTCCTTAAAACCCTCATAATCTGGCTACTGACAGTTGTAAAGTAATAATAGCAAGTTGTCTAATACTACTTGTAGTAGCCAGTTCTTGGATGTAATGCATGGGCAGTTATAAAGCATAAGAAAACTGAGGATTCTTTGTGTCCTTTATGGTATTTATTGGAAACTAACTGAATTTCTAGATGTAAAGGATTAATATACTAAATTGTATAACCTGCATTATACAGGTCAGGTAGGAAGGGCATGATGCTTCTATAGCATATTGCATTTCTCTTTGTCAGTGACCCCAACAGACTGACTATATATAGCTCACATAACAAAGGGCAAGAAGCCCAGTGAAAATAGAGCATTGCTGGAACTGCACTAGTTCATATCAGTTGATAACCTAATGTACTATCATTTCCATTCAGGATTATCTTTGTAATATCACAGCTTTTGTATGAATATAGTAAACTTCATATGGAAGGACAGTTTGGTGTGTAACTGGACTATATACCAGTCAAGCACTGCAAACCAGGATCTTACAGTGCATTTAGCTTTTGGCAAAGCTGTCTTGCAGAATGATTATGAAAATTAATAGCACACACATTTATAGTTTTTACTTTTCATTATCATGGTGATGAAAACAAGCGAAATTTTTCTTATGAGAAGAACACGATTTGCTGCAAGACAGTAATTTTTTAGGGATGCTGGATAATATGTAAAGTACTGCTTCTGCAGTGAATCAAGAGTACAGGAGTCTTCTGAGAGTGATTTGAAGCCTCTGCTTTAGCTTACCCCTAGAAATCTCTTCACTCAATCAAAAGAAAGTTCAGAATATTCATGATAATGAATAAGAATCATAATAAACTCTTATTTCATACCCAGGAAAGTTATTGCAAGTCAATTCTGGTGCCAAAGAACAGCTATTTTTTGAAGCACCAAGGGGGAAAAGGCATATTATAAGAATTGCTGAGGTACGAATTATGCTTATTGGATCTTTTTACTGTGAAAGTTATTTTTCAGGACTGTTGAAAATTAGCATTTTTTGTCTTCAAATGGTATAGCTTTTCCTTTTAACATACAATAGAGTTAGATTTAATCATTCTGTATAGCATCTTTCCTAGCCTTTGTAAATGGTAGGACTTGCAAGCTTCTGCTTGTATCTCTAAGTTTATTGCTGGTTGTTTAATAGCAGTCATTTTACATAACCCCTTAACTGAAAAGTCGCCTGTTTTCATAGAATCATAGAATTTTAGAATGGTTTGGGTTGGAAAGGACCTTAAGATCATGCAGTTCCAACCCCTGCCATGTTTTTCTGTGTAATGAGTGTTCATCTAGTTTACACCCTCTCTAAAGAGTATGGCCTGGATTTAATGGTATGAATCATTTGTGACACATAATTCTTGTGCAAAACTGCCAGTGTTTAGCACCTCAGAAAAATCTTTCAGGAGATTTGTATCCAAATCATGCTTTACCTTGGAAAAGTGGGAATATCTGACGTTTTAAGCATTTTGATGAAGATAAGCAGTTTGTAGTAATAAGCTGTAAACACCGAACAGTTTCTAAAACCACTAAAATTAAGTTAATATCAAACATAGAGGAATATAGGTGTGAAACCAATGTGCATTTGATGTATTAAGACAATATCTTCTGGGGACATTTTGATTGCAGGTAGAGAAAATAGAGTGGGACACCTGGACATGTGTACTTGGCTCTACGTGTGAAGGAATTTGGCCCATGCACAGTGACGTGACTGTTGTGAATGCAGCCAGCCTTACAAAAGATGGAACGCTCTTAGCTACAGGAGATGATTTTGGGTTTGTGAAGCTTTTTTCATATCCAGTGAAGGTAATGAATGCATTTATTTCTGTGATTAGACGCTGCAGAAGCAGAGGAATTAAGGAAGGCGCTGTTTGTGGTATGTCAGGCTGCTAACATGGGAATTCTTTGTGCTACACAGGGCCAACATGCAAAATTCAAGAAGTACGTGGGTCACAGCGCACAGGTAACCAACGTGCGGTGGTTACACAATGATTCTGTGCTGCTGACTGTAGGTGGTGCTGATACAGCTTTGATGATCTGGACCAGAGAATTACTGGGCATTCAGGAGAGTAAGCTGGTTGATAGTGAAGAATCAGACACAGATGCAGAAGAAGATGGAGGTAAAAAGGCTTGTATGAAGCATGGCTTTAATTTAGACTCACATAGGAGTTTAACTTGAAGTGGGGAAGAAACATTCATGTGCTAAAGCTCAGTGTAGGGAGAGCTTGGAAGGATTTCTTTCCTTCCTTTTATTGGTGTAGATCTTGTTTTCTACTCTGCCACTGTGAAACAAGGGTAGTTTGTTTTATTTTATGTTTTACTTTCCTAAGGTTATGATAGTGATGTTGCAAGAGAAAAAGCAATTGACTATACCACTAAGATCTATGCAGTAAGCATCCGAGAAATGGAAGGGACAAAACCACATCAGCAGCTGAAGGAAGTCTCAGTAGAAGAGAGGTATGTCACACAAAGGCATTCGTTTCTAAATGTACATTGCATTCTTTTGAATATCTGTTCATGCAACTAAAATCAGTCCTTAAAAATAAGACAGGAATAGGCAGATTCACAAGATGATATTTAAAATGGTGCTCAAGGTATTAATATGATGGGCAAAATATGTATACATCAGTAAAACACCTGTGAGTGTTGTGTTCTCTGCTACTGTCACATAAGCAGTGATATTCTTTCCTAATTAGTAGGTGTAGCTGTGCATGTGTGTGCAGCAGGGCTCTGGGGACAGGGTGAGCTTGTAAGTGCTTTGTAATTGAGGCCTTTGGTGATGTTTTCACTGAAAGCTTTTCAGCTGGTTATAATTGTGTCAGGTTGTTACTGTTAAAGCTGAAATTTCCCATGGCACACATTGGCCTTAGGCTGGAAGGAGGACAGTATTGGAGAGGACAGTATTGGAGAGGACAGTTTTGGAGAGGACAGTAAAGAAAAGAGATGAGCTGAGCATAGAGAGTGAGGTCCACTGAAACATAGACTCCACATAGGGGAGTGGGTGAGTGAAAACTCTGACTGGGACAGGATTGCCGGTAGAGAAGAATCTATAACCAGTAAAGTACATTCCCCTTCCTAACCTAGGCCAGTAAATCTACACCAGTGAATCCAGCTGATTTCTCAGCTGTGAATCCCTGCAGTCTCTTTTATAGGATTTCTTTTTATCAGTGGTCATTCTTTCATCATGAGTTTTCTTGCCTCTGCCCAGCGTTGGGCGCTGACAAAAGGCTGCTGTGGGTTAACCCACAGAAACAATTTAAGCTTGGTTGTTTGCCCTCAGTTTGCCCAGAACACGTGACTAGCAACAATCCAGCAATGGCATATTGTTCTCCCCAGGGATCCTGCCCTAGTTAGAGAGCAGGATACGTGTCCTCAGGGAGTACATCGGGTGCAGAAGGAGGCACTGGGGCACTGCGGGATCCCTGCTGCAGGTACTGCAGGAGATGAGAGTGCTGGGTGGAGAAAGAGGCTGGGATGGCAAGAAGAGAGCTCTGGAGCCTGTGGAGAGCTGTGTTCTGCTTCTGTCCCAGGGCTCTGGGTGGTGGCTGGCAAACAGAGTATTCTGCAGGCAGCCTCTCACCATGTCCCACCTCAATTCCAGAGTACAGCTGAATTTGCAGGAAAACTGCACACTCATGGCTGCAAGTGGAGATCAGTTAAGCCGTGTGTTGAACAAACATGTAACACATTGAACAGATGAAGGTCTGAGGTTCTCTCACCTGACTATGGAAAACTAGTGCTATCTCTTGAGATTTTGGGCTTTAAATCTCCTTGGTGTCCTGATTTGCAAGATGCAAAACGGAGTGAGGAATAGTTCCTGATTTCATGCAGACCTTTGAAAAATGAATTTATGTTTTTAAAGCTCTCAAGGAATGGATAGAAAGTAATCATAACATTTTCACTCAGTATTTGAATAGGACAGCAGAAGTTGGGAGTGAAAAATGAGAAGAAAAATGGTGCACCCCCTTATTTTCATCACATTTTAACAAAAACATGCAATAGGAGGATTAGTCTTTTTTTTTCAATGGAATACTGAGCGTTTCTTTTCCCCTTCTTTTAAGGATCTCTCTTTCCATTTCCTCATTTACTCATATAACATCTTTCTTCCTCCATTTTTCTCTAAAAAGGCATAGGCTATTATCTAGTTTTGAGATTGAATTAAAAAAGGAAAACTATTTTATTTAGGGTAATAGTGCTAAACTGTTATTACACATGAAATTACAAGTGCCAATGGTGCACCAGATGTTTTACACCAGAAACCCTTTGTAACTTCCAGCTGCTTTATTCTGCTTTGATGATGCAAAAGCAACTGTAGAGCCAGTTTAATTGACCAATTAAGCTGAGCTTAAAATTGTTTTGTACTAGTGAATTACCAGCAATATGAGCATAAGCATCAGTCTCTTCTGCAGTTTGCCAGCACTATTTTCAGTCCAGGAGTGAAAATCATCACAGTCCCTTTGGGTCCAGAGAAAGCTTCCCTTGTTGAAACCTGGCCCTGGATCTGCTCTCTGATGCAAGCAAGTATCCAGCTTCTCTGAGGAGTATCTGTCTGCCACGTACACTTCCTGACTTCTGATTCTGTCCACATCCTCAGTCCTACGATGCATAAGCTGATTCAGCAAGACAACTGCTGTGCTGCTGTGGAGGAAGGCATCCTGCAATGAACAAGCAGTTTGCTGTTTTCAGCCTTTTAAACAAAACCAGTGGTACTGCAGAGCAGGCTTCCTGCTTGTCACACTAACTGATAATGCCTAATGCAGGGGAAATGTGCTTTGTGCTATCCAACGCCACAAAGCAACACTGAAGCTGGAAGCTCTTCTAGTGTTTCCACACTACCCACTCTGTTTACAGCGGGTGGGCCTATTTAAATGGGTAGACACCTCCTCTGCAGTGAGGTTGCCTTCAAGTAATAATGCCTTCCATAATAATCTCTTGATAATGATTGTACATGAAAATAGCTTCCTGTGGCCTATCTGAAAGAATAAGCTATCCCATAACAAGTTCTAGGCTTTAAGTCTCCGTATCTTCTTAGTGCCTCTATGTAATCAACAGTTGTGAACTTCATTTTAAAATAGCTTAAAAGCAATCCCTTGTAACTGTCCTTTTCATCTTTTCTGCTGAAAAGTCACAGCTATTCAGTACATGTTTGTATCTTTCAATTACAGCTATTGGAAAGGACCTTAAGATCGTCTAGTACCAACCCCCCTGCCCATGGTTGGAACTAGATGATCCTAAGGTCCTTTCCAACCCTAACTATGCTGTGGTTTGCAATTTGCTGTTCTGATAAATTTGCCAACAGATCCCATACTTTTCATATATAGCTTGTTAGACAAAGATAAATTTGCATCCCTTTCTTCATCAGATTAATATAAATTACCAGAATTTATAGTCAAATAATTATAAGCAGAAATTTCAGGGTAAAATGTAGGAAAAACTGCAGTTTCTGAGGGTGTTGTGCCGAGATAGGGCCTGAAGCTGTGAAAGGTCATTGGTTTTGGATGCAGTAAGCTGAGATTCATGTGACTTCAGGTTTTTGGCCACAGTTTTACCAATATGTGCACAATTTATGCAGAATCTCAACACTCTGAATTATGAGTGTTTCAGGGTAAAGCTGACTTCTCTTGTAAGACGTGTGAATTATGAGGCAAAGTTTAGCTGTGCCAGATCCCATCTCTTCTGAGAATACGAAGTAATGAAGCAGCCAGTAAAGGTTTGTCTGACCATGTTCAACTCCCAAATCTTTCCTCTTTGTAATTATGCCATATGCCTGTATAAAGACCGCAGAGATTGTGCGTTTGATGGGATTTGCACGCTGTGGATACTCTGATAACACACTGTCTATGTTTTGAAAACCACGTTGCAAGCTGGAAGGTCCTTTAAGGTAGACGTGAGCTCATCACAAGACCCGAAAAACTGCGGGGTACAGTGGGGATCTGAGATTTGTCCCCACGTTGTATTTTCATTGCGTGTCTGAGAAAGGAAAGATAGTGAGTTATTCAGAGATACAGAGAGTTATCCATGGGTATAGTGAGTTATTTGTAGGCATAGTAGGTAGAACACCAGAATTAAAGAAAGGAGGTTTAAATTAAGAAAAGAAAGGAGAGAAAACCAACCTTCCAGCCTCCAGCTCGAGCATGAGACAGGAATAGCAGGGGCTGTTGCTCTCAGCTGCTTCTCGGGAACAGGGACTTTAAGCTCACGATGTTTCTTTCTTTAAATAGTTCTATTGAGAAGGTGAACTGGTGCTGAACAACTTATTTCCCTCAGATAATACAAATACGCTTCAAAGGTACTATGTGACACCTAAAAGACAGTTTTGGTTCAAGATGGCTGGTTTATTTTCCTCTTTATTACAGCTGCATTTCCATCTCTTTAATTTTCGTGTTTGCTAGAGCAAGCTTGCAGGAATCTGCTTCCATAATATTAAGAGTGGTGACTCTGAAGAACTCAAAGCCCATTGTCTCTCTAAAAGTAACAGATCATTGTACAACTCAGGAGGAGTTTAACCTTGGGAACTGAGATGTGCAAGCGTCTGTTTGGGAGCTGATACAAGGAGAGAGGGGAAAGCTTTACAACAGCCACCACCCTTATGGAAAGGAGTCAACAATTTAGGAAGGACTCCTCCAGCTCATACAAAGACTTACTTTGCTGTCTAAAGAGAGGAGCCAGCAGTTCTTGTCCCTTCTCTCCCCCCATCATGGGAAAGAGAGTAGGAGGACAGATTTGACGTAATAATACACAAGATAAGTGTGACTTTGAGCAGCTGCTGTTATTACCCAGCACGTGCCCTGTGCTTAGCACAATCCAGCAATATGAAAAAGAAACCTGTTTTCCACTGGTTTTCTGTGGATCTCCAGAGCATTGAGCCCCTGAGCAAACTGGGCAGAGAAATTTCATTATTATAAAGGGCAAAATACTTATATATGGCAAACTTGGGGATAATATCAAGGTTTTTCCTTAGAAAAGAAAGTGAAAGCCCTTTATTAAATGTACTTTTCCTGTCTCGTTTATTTACGTGATGAAAATAATGATGATCCTGCAAGTATCTTGGACGAATGGAGGAGTTACATGGTGGATTTTACTTGCAGCACTTGAAATAAATCACAGTGTGGCATTTGGGGGGGACGGGGATGGGACACTCAAGATTTACTGTCTCCATCAGCAGTTATAGCTATAGGGTGGGAAAATAACAGGAAAGATGAGGCTGAGGTACAGTTCTAAAATGGCTTGGAGGTGCATCTGCTGCATGGAGTTAAGTAATTAATCGACTGTTGTTTCTCTCTCCTCTCCCCAACCTTCTCGTTTTATTTCTTCTCCCTCTCCATGTCCTCCTGTCCTCCCCACCCACCCTTACTTTTCTCTTCTATTCTGCTCCTCTGATTGGCATCCTCTTTGCTCTGCCTTTGTGGTTCACAAGTGGGGTGCCCATGGGAGGTGCAGCAGGAGCAGTCTCATGG